CTTAACTCTTTTATTTACTGCCTTTTTCTTCTTAATGGCAGGGTATGTTGCGAAATATAACTCGTATGAAATGCTGAGATATTTGCAAAACTCCGGACCGCAGGTGTGTGCGGTGGGGAACGAACACGCCCTGTTGTCCTTACCGGGGAGCAGCGCACTTCACCACCACACCATCTGGGTCCTTCGTCTTGCCTGTCTCTCAGCTAGTTCTATCGATCTTTTTGCCCACCGCTTTTTCGTGACTTCCAATGAGGAAGTTTAGAACTAGCTGAGAGACAGGCAAGACGAAGGATCCGGATGGTGTGGTGGTGAAGTGCGCTGCTTCCCGGTAAGGACAACAGCGCGTGTTCGTTCCCCACTGCATACACCTGTGGTCCGGAGTTTTGCAAATATCTGCGTTTCATATGAACAATCTGTTTCTTTCCAAGATTTCTGTGCTTTCTAGAACCTTAACATTTAAAAATCATGATCTTAGTGCATAAGGATAACCTGGAAAGTGGAATTTTTCGAGGAAATTGTTCAACTTAAATGTATGGGGACAGTAAACGGTAGCTTATTGGACCAACTCGCCTGTATGGATCGCGATGATCTGTTGAATAAAACCCGTCTACGCGTTGCATTGTCCGTAGCAACACCAACAAGGAACGAACAATGCCTCCGTCCAACAACATTTGTCGTGTTTTCCATTGAGCTTGTGTTTTTCATCATCTGAGGATTTCTCGTTGTTTAAATGATTTGTAAAGATCGTTTTCGCGTGTTTGGGTTCTTGGAGTGGCTTTTACTTTTGTGAAAGCCGCATATCCATCTTTTTGTGTCGTTGGGTGAGCCTTTGTTTTGCTACTTGTTTCATACTTTATGAAAACTGTCGTACGAGGTGTGTTGCAGGATGAAGAGAACAACAGAAAAATTGATGGCCTACAGAAGAACTGCTATAGAAAGTTTTAAGCCAAGGTCGCGCAGTAGTGAATCAACGTCGGAGACTCAACGAGTACGTTCTATCATAGTTATCAAAAAATTTTACTTGCGTTTTCTTTTAGGGAGCATAAGTGAAATTTGTTTCCTTGTGAAACTCTTATGCGCGAACTTTACCAGTAGAGCTTTCCCAAGGTGGTAGTTTTAAGAGGTAAAAATTTCCTTTGTAACTGCCGACAGTTTTTTGATTATAGCACTTGAAGAGTTCAGATATTGACATGCTTATAGCATTGATCTGGCCTTATCGACCTGCTTGTGATTTTTCCGGTATACCATTTTTATTTTGAGTTGTATTTAAGAGACCCAACCATCGTAATTGAGAGCTGTAAGTAGATAGCTGATTGTGGTACATGCGCGATTTGTGAGCTGAACTACACGACTATGTAAGCTTTAGATTTCATGAAAGTGCACGGTATTCCTGCGAACGCCAGACACCTTAGGAAATAGCGGTAATATCTGGTTTTGAATTACAGCAACTTATTATGAGGTACTCCTCCCAAGGGTTTACTGCCTTACCTTGTCCGGAAGATGTTTCTGGGTGTTGGGCTGCAATGTACAGCGAGGGATTGATCGTCCCAGCAGGATCTCTTAAGCTGAGAAGGAAGGAGTTTGGCGTTTATATTAGGAAGCCCAGCTAACAGTAAACCAATACCAGGATCCACCACCGTCCTGGTATCAAACTAGTCGCGAGCGGTGGTAAATATTCCTTCGATCCACAAAGCTGGTGACTGCCTACTGTGGTGACTACCTGGGGCAGACTTTGGCTAAAAGTGGAAATTATGCTGTGGTGCGGACAGCCAGTGAAAACAGGCCGTCCAAGTATACAAGTAACTAAGTAACTATGGCGATCATATGGAATTTTATGCGACAAGTGGGTTCAATAAGAGCGTAAAGATCGACGTCTGAAAAAGTTAGTGTTACGTCTGCAGCTCAGAAGCAGATGCACTTGGCCCATTGTGAACTACGAGATATTGGGTGCGTCGAATAGTTAGGCATGGTCTGCCATAGTCATTTGGGTTGCCATCTACCCCTTTTTCACTTTATCCCCTTCGCATATGGGTTCACCTTTGATTAGAGTTGGACATTTACCAGTGACGAATTTTGCGAATTCATCAGAGCACTTGCGATGGCCAACACTCCCTTGGGATTTGGCAGTGGCTGAATGTTGACGTTCTTGATGCACCACCGTTTTGTACTTGGCGCAAATTGTACGAATCGAATCCGTGGACTACTCTTATCGTCACTTTTTTATTCTACGTAACTGGACAAGTTTTTTTCATCTGGTAAGCAGTTTTGGTGTTAAGCTAGAGTTGTCCAAATTTTAAGCAGCGAAACGGTGCAGCTTTACTGTTGCAAAACGTTTAAATTCCATGTCCTCTTCATACGGATCAGTATTTTTTCTTTTTATACGATCCGTCTTCGCCTCTACTCTGCGGATCCCAACACTTCTTGCATTCGATTTGTTTCCTCGGCTTCATCATCCATGAAAATGTTAACTTTTTGCTTTGGATTCGCTTGCTTCTTGTGGATTTTATTTTCCCCATGAATGTCGCTGAATGTTGTTCGAGTAGATTATCCTTAGAGTCCTGAGATAGATGTGGTAGAACGCTCCCATTTGAATTGAAGAGTGACCCTTCACTAGACAAATATGGTACGGATTTCGTGACTCCGGAGGAATAGGAAACTCGTTTGATTGGTATTACTACTACGCTACGCGCCTACTCCAGGTCAATATACCACTGATAAGTTCACATCTTTCCTTTTTTTGACATAGTTTTTTTCAACTAAACAGAATGACTCATCTTTCATTTTTTGGTAAACGAATGTCGGAAGCTTGTAGTGCTGCTGAAAAATTGTATTAAAGATTAAAGTGCATGGTTGTCTGTATGATGTAGGAATTATTTTGGGCTCACATTTTGTGCCCGAGTGAATTTTTTTTCACTCTCACATGTAGTGCAGATCGGACTTCATAGGTTGATATCTACTTTTTTTTCGTCCCGGTCATTTATTTTGCTGAACATAGTTTTTCGTTGTACTTTTAACGTTGTATCGACCAAGTTGACCCTAAAAAGTAGTATGAATATTCATGGACATTTCTAGGCCAGTGGCTACAAGTGTTTTTCAATACGCACAGGATCAACTGTTAGTTCGGTCAGCGTCCCGAAATCACGAAGCACTCTATCCCTTCGGAGTGACTAAGTTTGTGTCAGACTTGATAAAACGCTGGCTAAAAACATTGACTGGGTACATCGGTAAGACACTGCAATTCACTGAAAGGCTGGGGTGCGAATTCAGTCTCCTCAGCTATTCTTGATGAAGTTAAGTGGACAGCGTATCCTTCAGGGGTTGATCAATAGGAAACCCCTGTGCTTTAATTTTAGTATACATTGGCTCAATTTTGTCAGCTGTTTTTATTCCATGTTTCAGGGCTCAGTTTGGATTAGTCTTTTTCGCTGCATCCGTGCTTACTGCTATATGTTTCAGTTTAGGAAAACGTAATGAAGGAGAGGTTTGCACTTTCTATCTTTTCTTCATAGAAATTCTTCCAAAATATGGTAGATTTAGTTGTGCTTAGTTGTCATTTATCAGTGATTTATATTTACTTGAATCTTGAATCCGCCCTCACTGGTTACGCGGGCCCTGGTATATTCTCCATTTTTTCGGAGGATTGGTTACCTTGTTTGCTAAAATACCCACTGTTTTTAGCGCTTTCTAGCCGTTTTCTTGATAGGCTTCTTATTTGGCTTATCATCAGCTCTTCACCTATATTTCGTTAGTTCCTGCGATCGTTTGTGGATCGCTGATATTGTGATGTGATGTAATATTTACCTATACATGTAATAAGCTTTATGTTAGTGTTGTAGATGTCGGCATATTCTGTGTTCAATCCCAACTGCGAAAGATTGCTTGGGCAGATAACTGCTGAACATTTTGAACGTGATGTATTGAGAAGAAGAATTGACTAGGACCATTTCTCTCCGATTGGATCATACCAAAGATTAAATGCAAGAGACTAGAGGTGTGTTGTTAACAAGTATTCTTACAGAAAATGTTTCTTCTGAAAAATAAAGGTTAAAGGATAGGGCTGTCGAAGTTGATCAATCCCAGAGGGATGTGCCATGCATTCGACTTCACTAAGCATCGTTGGAGGTGATTGAATGCATATCTCGCCTTTACAATGTTTCGCGGTAGTCTACCGATGTATCGAGCAAGTGCTGCTATCCTCCCTAACAGGTCTGGTGCCAACTTGCCGATCCCAGAGAAATGGAGGGCGTGGTGATCCTGGGGCGTCGGGGTCGGTCCCGTGTTTATAGTGAACACGTAGACTCCTTATAGGCAAATTCTATAATTTGGTGACGCCATTTATAGATCTATACAAAGGCTATACTTCGCCGTAGCGTAAAGCTACAATTAATTGCCAAGCTTTAGTGTTCAGATGGTTCAGAGTTATGTAAAATATACTCTTTTCCAATATAGATATCTCGGCACTTTCTATAACGGCAGCAGTCAAGCTGCTCCGTGTGACGGTTTTGTAAGTTGTTAAAATTAGAGGATGGCTCCGATCTACTTCTGCGTTGGACTGTACGTGTTACACGTCGAGTAAAACGTGTCGGCATAAGTGGAATTTCCGTTTGCCTCCTCGGTCAAGAGGTTCTCAGTAGGCTCGATTTGTTCAAGAGAGACAGGGAACATAACAGTTGTCTTTCTCACATTTCGTAACAGTTTGGACGATCCTGTTGGAGAGGTGAAGCTTTGCTGTACATCACACTTCAGGTAAGATCATGCAACCAGCTGCGACTTAGTACATCATTGGGAGAAGTATGGTAGGATCCTCCTAGGAATACTTTTAAAATTTTATTCTAGATGTGATTCGTTTAACTAGAAAGCTTTTCATTGTATTTCATACAGTTTACCTTTTTCTGTGGGGAACGCTGAAACAAGAAAATAGTGGCCTTTTTCATGTGGGTTCGGTCTTTCATGAACGCCGTTGTTTATTGTTTTTTTTTTAACCATCAATATCTTCATTATCCATCTCGTTCGTTATATTCGTTTTTCCATTATATTTTCTTCGTGTTTTGCTTTTTATAATCTCGATTTTGTTCGTGGACTAAGCAACTTAACGTAAAATGTTTCAGATGATGGGTAACTCGTTAGTTGTCGATCCATGTTTCGCTTGCTGAAATATTTCGGGAAAATCATTAGCGCAGCTGGTTTTCCAAGGACATTTGTGATACCATAAATTCTTTAAATCATTCGTTTATCATTGTTTTTATGCGTGGGTTAAAAGCCTGATGAATACATAGATTTTTTCGTTGATAAAGTGTCGTCGTTGTAAAGTTTGCTTTATAGTAATGGTTGTTATACCTTTTTAAGGTATGAATGAGTCTCATGGTTTACTACTTAATGAAGAGGCCCTAAAGGTACGTTACATAGTTTTCATTAGTGATCGTTGTATACCTCCCAACGGTTCACCTCCTCATCGTGGCTGAGTGGTGTTTCTGGGTGTCCGGCTGCGATGTACAGCGTGATATTCATCACTCTGGCAGGGTCTCCCAAGTTGAGAAGGAGTTCGGCGATTCCATCAGGTAGTCTAGCTAAGAGCAAACCAATACCAGGGTCCACCACCGTCCTGGTATCAAAGTCGAATGGTAGCAAATCTCCCTCTGATCCACAAGAGCGGTGAGTGGCTGTGGTGACGATCAGGAGTAGACTCTGGTCAGGCTGACGTTGGACGTGTAATGAACCACAATGGCTTAATGAGCAAAACTGCGAAGAAGTAGAAATCTTGCTGGAGTCCGCACAACGAGTGAGAGCGGGCCATCCAACTATATATCACTATACATTGTGTTTTTCTATGTTTCACTTCTTTGAAAGCTTTTTCTGTTGGACTATAGCCCTGGTCTTCATGTTATTTCTTTGTTTGCTTTTCTGCATTGTTTTTTTTCGCACAATGAATATCTTAGAATTGTCCTGATGCCAAGAAGCCAGTGTTTGTCTATGAGTGGTTACGCTACTTAGACGGAATTCTTCCTGTCACACAAAAGGTTGATTCTGAGGTTTACTCACCAGCTGTTTGAACTAGGTCAAATTTCTATAAGTTTTCAGACAGATCTGAGGGCAATACAACCAAAGTTGGTTCAGCAATTGCTATCTCGAATAACCTCAATTAATGGACCCCCAATACGTTATCTTTTGGCGAGGTAACGTTATTATCTTCCTTAGTGTTTTCTCTTCTATCAAACATTTTTAGATGCTTAGCGCGTGTTTATTTGATCGGTGACAGCTCGACATTTGGTGACACATTAAACTTATGCAACGACACTCTAAAAATTAGAGATGATTCTCCTAGTCAGCTCCCAGTGAAGTTGTGAGTTTTTAGGTCTACTATTCCCATAATTTGCTTGGGTCGTTCTTCGTTGTTAGATTTTATGAAGGATGAAGGATAAAGCTCTCGACGTTGACCATTCTCTAAGGAATGCGCTATAAATTTGACTTCATCAAGCCTCGTCAAAGGTGGTTGAATGCATATCTGGCCTTTTACAATGACTTATGGTGGCTTGTCGATGTATCGAGCCAATGCTGCCATCCTCCCTGATGGGTCTGGTATCAATTTGTCGAACCCGGACTGATGGGAAGCTTGTCGAGCCTTGTGCGCAGAGATTGTGAGTGGTCCGGAGCATGTGGGTTATCCACCGTGTTCCCAGGATGTGCCTCATTTCTGCAGGCATCTTATATAATTGGTAGCAATTAATACTCTTTACTAAATGGTACAGGTATTTGTTATTTGTAAGTGCTAGTGGTGTAACAGTAAACCGAAATTTTTGCAGCTTAAAGTTTAATTCAGTGGCACGTCATATATTACGCACTTATCACATTCAGTTCAGAGCAGCGCTTGCATGCGTAGCTTCATTTTACGAAACTATGGGAAGATGTGGGTCAAATTTTGTCGATACGTTCCCAATCGTGTTGAAGTGGCTGAAAGTTGCTGAAGTTCGTATGTACTATTATTTTTGTTTGATTCTTCTCTCGGATGGTCTTATTAGTGCCTTATTAGCTGAATTGTTGTGTTTTTTATATCTCCATACGTCGCAATTATTATCATATCGTTTGATTGGGAAGTACACTTTTCAAATTCTAGTCTCAAGGTCGCGCTGAAATTCTCATAACGCTATCAAGTATGGTTGTGGGGCTTGGTGCTGGTGCAGTGGCCTTTCATAAAGACGTATACAAAGCAGCGAAAGCTCATCTAGCAGATCGTGTGTTGACTGTTCGTACTGCTGCATTGCAGGTTAGTTAAAACTGGTGTATATTGTGCTTCTTGCAGAAAGCTTAGGACGTCGTTACCACGATTCTTTAACACATAACAGAAATACAACCGCACCGATGCTGAAATTTTCACAAAACTTGGACTCCGAGCTAGGTCGAACCGTGATTACCGTTTCCGAAGGCTCGCTTATTATACACTCTCAGCTAATTTTTACCTAACGCTGTCATTAGCAATAACCCTTCACCGGGATTGATCTGGGAAGGACAAACTCAGCTTGAACTCAGCTAAGCTGAGACTGTGGTCGAAATCGCAAGCACAAGGGAAGGAATTCACTGAGGCAATGTTTAGTACACGAGCACCCGAAAAGAGTAATCGTGGTTCGATTTAGCCGGGGTCCAAGTTTTGTTAACATGTCAGCATCGTTGTGGTTGTATTTCATATCATACCCTGCCGTGAAAGGAACAGGTTGTCCGAGATTATCATGACGACCAAGACCATCCGTGGTAACTCGCAGTTCCAGAAGCCCCACTCTCAACATGGAGGTGGAGAGTATCATAACGAAATGGACCGCATCATAGTAAGTAGAAGGTTTTGGCTAACCGATGTCGCTGTTGTCCCAAAACTCCACACGGGATCAGACCATCGTCTCCTTCGTGCAGAATTCTATTTCTCGCGGAAAGGAGAAAAAGTCGTTAAATTCAAAAACCGAAGTTAAAGAACCACCATAAACTGGGACGTATTCAATTCGTTAGTCTGCTGTTGGAAGATGCCGTTGTCTATAACATTAACGAGGAATACGATCGGTTCATTCCACATCTTCACGCTAGCGCTATGAAAGCTGAGTTCTTTGAAATTACCAAGAGACGTCTGTTTCCAGAAACACTCGAGCTGATATGCCAGCGTGGAATCGCGGGAGCTGCAGGCAACCGCGAACTAACGTCCGAACTTGCAAAACAATGCAGACAGGCGATAAAAGAAGATCTTAGAGAGAGAAAAACAGCAGTAATGGTCGAACTGCAGAGGCGGAGAAAAGCATTCGGTGAGCCTACCGAAGCTTAGCCAGTTACAAGACCAAGATGTCTGCACTCGGACACCCAGGCGGAACAGTTACAGCGTCCAGAAAGACGATGGAGAAAGTCATTCACGAATACTACTCAAATATCGATAGCCACGTCTACTTTTCGTCATATGAAATAAAGGAGGATGGATGGTGGTACCACTGGTTCTTCGTTCCGAAATCCGACGTGCTATTTCGTCGGTGAAAAATCGAGCGGCACCAGGTCCGGATAGAAAAAAATCGGAACACTTGAAGAACCTTCCGTCAGTCCTCGTAAACACACTGGCTGGAGTCTTCACACGTTACCTGTCTGAATGCAAGGTCCCTACTCAGCGGAAGACCAGCAAGGCCGTGCTATTGTTCAAGAAGAGTGACCTACGCGATATCGGCAATCATCGCCCAATCTACTTTCTGTCTGCCGTCTACAAACTTTTCACTCGAGTCATTCTAAACAGGATTGGCAGAACACTAGGCGAAGGGCAGCCATGTGAACAAGCAAGGTTTCGAAAAGGATTTAGTACGATGGGCCATATCCGCACGGTAACAAGATTTATTGGTGTATCTCGGGTGTATAGAAGACCGCTATATCTCACTTTCATCGATTTAGAGAAGGGCTTTGACTCAGTTGGGATAGAAACAGTTATGGAAGGACATGGTTGTGAAGGAGTCCCTACTCAGTACATATGGATCCTTGGTAAGCTCTAGAAAAATTTCACAACCAAGATATGACCGTTCTACAGCGATATCAACATCGACTTCAAAAGAGAAGTTAGGCAAGGCCATACATCTCTCCTAAGTTATTTATCACCGCCGTCGAAAACGTCGTGATTGGAATAGGGTAATATTGGGATGAAAATCGATGGTCGGCAATTACATCATCTTCCCTAGAGCAAGCAGGTCCCACTGGGCTACTGTTGCCCACGACAGGGAAAAATGGAACCTGGCGCCCGCTCGAGTCACGCAGTAGTCAATGGGACTACAGGTGATGCAGGTGATTCCCTGCCGTGGAAAATTGTGGTAGGCAGCGAATAAAAATTTCACATTATAAGGGAAATGTTTTAGTGTGTTACTGCATTAGTGCCAGTTTATTCGCCACTGTTCACGACGGAGCTCGAGGCAGTGGTAACACTGTGCACAAAGGCGTTAGAAGGATCTAATTACGAGACACGGCGAGCTGTTTCTCGTTTACTGGGTGTTCTTCTGTCTACTGCGCTTCAACCACCTGCACCATTCGTTTGTGAGTTTGGTTAAGTTTATTGAACGCTTGTATTCTGTTTTTAGTTGAACCCCATGTTTCTGTTCCACTCGAAGGGCATTGGTCACCTTGCTTACATAGTTCGAAAATTTTTTCTAGATTACTGAAGCATGTAAAGAGTGAGGATGTTATAGTTACTAGCTTTCGTTTTTAAGTTGTTGATGTATTGTCTGCTTTAGAAATCACTTGTATCCTAGCTAAAGCTTCGATAAAATTAGCCTTAATACGTCTTTATTGGTTAGTAGCTTTTGTTTACAGTACCATAGTTTGCCGAACTTCTAAGGGGTGGCAATCTGTATTTATGCATGTTTATAGTCTTAAAATGTAACTGTACATTTTGCGTGTGTGTTTCTATGTATGTGTGTGGTGCCATATGGTTAAAAATTGATCAATTTATATTTCAAATAGATGCTTCATTTTCAGCTTTATCATCAAGTAGAAATTATTTGCTATAATTACTTTTGTTCTTTTGTAGTATTCTGATCCCAACAGTACATTAGTTATCGTAAAAAGCCAGTAGTTTTATGAAACAGTTGGCAACGTTGGTTTTTATACATTTGTTAGGATACAATAGCCGACGTTTCGGCGGTTTCGGCTTCTTCAGAGCCTTGAAAGTCAAATTGACATGCGATCTGCTCAGCCAAACACTTTCATAGCCCTAGCGGATAGACCTTAACCAATAAATTTGCATTCGCTTAAGAAACAGCTTCATTTAAACACCTACCGTTAGTTTGTTGTAAGTATTCCAATTAGTTGATGAATATCAGCCACAGAGATTAATTCAAAAATTTCAAAAATGAACCGTTAGGAAGAGTGTCTTGTCATCACGCTTGACCTAGCGCCGTACCTCAGGCTGATTCAATGAGTTGACACAAGCACAGTCGTCGCTCATGTATTGCTTTAAAGAAGGCAAAACCACCGAAACGTCAGCCATTGTATCCTAATAAGTTTTATAGTACCAACCTTGTGTCTAACAAAATGAATAGCTTGTCATTTTCTGTGAAGTCTAGCGAGGACTGTTAATTTGACATATTTATAGCTACCATTCTAACTGGACGTTTTTGTAGTTTCCGTATTTTAAGAAATGACACTCAGCGTTGTGTTTATTGATGAGGAAAATTTAATTTAGGTACTGGAAAATCAGCGGCAAACACTCGGGTGCTAGCGTTTCGTCCACTGCCTTTGGAAGATGCACTACATATGCTCGCGGCTGCATTTTTACGAGGAGGTATAGGAGGCTTTTTAAAAGGAGGATCAAACCAGAGTACTGCGACACCAGGAGGTCAGAAAGATGTCCGCGCTGGAATTTCAATGGTTCGTTTTATTGGCTTTATGTATTTAAAAGGTTGTCTTCTGTAAGTTTTGTTGAAAAAACGGTTTCAGGGATACGTGGATTTCATGCGAGAAATGGGCGCAATTTGGCTTGAGCGAAATCTCTTCTTAGTGTGCAGGCACTTATTAGACCTTGCATCAAAATGTGGTTACATCGCATGCACGAAGTAAGTATGTATATATTTTGAAAGTTATATCCGTCGATAGCATACGGAGTTTGTACTGTTAAGATTTTCTTTTGTTAATCCTACAGCAAGCAGTTCCCCATGTTCCTTGAGATAAGTGAGAATTTGGCCTCTTATTACAGTTTCGTTTTTTAATATTATAAGGTTTTTACATTATTTACTTGATGTGCTGTGGTAGAAATCAACTTGAGGAGAATATACGCAGGAAGGTGGTTTTCCATAGATATTTACAAACTCTTAGAAGATATTTATTTATATTGTTGAGCTTACACGAGGTTGATACGAGATGTTTATTCGGCTAACGTTTCGACGTCTTCATCTTCATCAGAGCCGACGATTTTTGTCTATAGTCTAAAGTTGCGGCGTCTTCATCTCGCATCGAACCGGACCTCCTTCAGTTGAGCAGCTCGAATGAGCTGAACACACCCGGCGTCGCTCTTTTATACAGAGTGGTCGTTGTTGATATGATAGTCAGTTGATGATAATCTGTTTTCTGACTGATAATCCAGCCTGTTGCAGTCGGTGTTTTGTTAGCTTGCAAATTTCGAATGGCAAGAACAATAATTTTGAAACCGACCGTCACTTAACCTCGGTACTGTAATAATCGACATTTATTTATATTGTTGAGCCGTTTCTGTTTCTTAGAAGGTATTTTAACGTTATATCAAGTAGAGGGAACGAGAGAGTGTTACTGAGAACTGAAGTGGTGGTTGAAGTTATAAGATTTGATAAGGGATGAAGATGTTTTTTTGTTTGGATTCTTAAGCTTTTCAGCTCACCTGTACAAGCAGCAGAAGCGGTTTTTCTTCGCAGATGTATTTCATACATTCTGCGGTCCACTGTTGGCGCGATGCTGAGTGAACAAGCACAAATTACAGCATGCAAGCATCTTGGCCAATTACTTGCAGATTATATAAATTCTTTCGGTGCATTTTTATGTCAGCTTTTTGCGAGGTTCTTGAAAGTGTTCGGGCCATTTATCTAGTTGTAGATTATTCTGTTGAACCGTCAGTGGAACGAGTGCTAGGCACAGAAGCGTACTCCAGTGCTCAAGCAACCGCTGTAGCAGCCCTTGAACTGTCAAACCTCGTTCGCCAAATTGGAACGGCGGTGACGCCGTTATTTGTTGAGGCGTCAGGTTTATTCGTTTTCCATTATACTTTTTTTCGTCACTGTTTGCTTATTCCGTTTTGTGTCTTGATATAAACTGGGGAATGTTAACCTTTTATTTGCTACCTATAATTTTTCACGGCAGGGTATGATGTGAAACACAACCACAAAGATTCTGAGATATTCGCAATACGTGCATCCTGGGCCATATCGAACTAGGACTACCTTTTCCGGGTGGCGTGTAACACCCTGCACCACGCGGTCCCAAAGTTTTGCGAATTTCTCAGCATCGTTGTCGTTAAGTTATGGAATATTTCACGCTTAAACTATGAGTAGTATTGTAGGCCACGACCATTTAACAACTCTGGAACGTTAGTGGTTAGTATTTTCGTGCCTTTTTCTAACACAACACTTTTAGGCATTATGGAACCTGTGTTTGCATGCCTTCTTCATCCGATTTTATCTGCTCGTACGGCGATTGCATGGTGCTTAAGGTGCATAACTATGGCCGTACCCAGTCAACTTACACCTCTGATTGATCGGTGTCTTAGCAGGTGGGAAAGAAGGGCAGGAGTGGTTTATCTGTGTTAAATCCTTTAAAAGTTCCACTTTTTCTTGTTTTAGTGTTTTTTTTTTGTCGTGAAGTATCCAAAGGAGGAGTTTGTGGGAGGGAAAGATAGGCTATGTATGCATTTCAGGCTCGAACATATGAAGTCGTGCAACGATGCAATCAGTGGTTATTCCTTAGCTCTTGCTGCTCTTATAGCAGCCTCATCCGATTGCAAACTTGGTATTCCCCACGCAAAGCCAAAGCAAGTATGTGAAACGGTAGAAATTATGCATTTTCTTTAACCGTTTTGTCACTCACTGTAGGTTTTGGTATGCGCAGAGGAAATGCTTAAAACTGCAGCACAACAAAGTCGCCTCGCAGTGTCTAAAATTTGTGCTGGGTACCTTCTCTTGGATTCTGTTGTAACAGTAGGTATGATTCCATTCTCATTATTCCTTTCCTTTCTATTTCTCTTTTCTAGTTATTTATTCAGAAGTTGTTTGAGGTTCTCCAGGAGTAAAGGAAAGCATGCCTCGTATCGTACAACTGTGGCGAACTGCTTTTCCACGTAGCATTAAGGAAGCTGAAGCAGAGAAAGGACGGGGTGAGTTATGTGCTTGGTTGCAATCTCCTTCGAGTGCTATAGAAGTAGCTATTTTTTTTTACGTATCAAGTGAGAGTATTCTTGGAAATGTGTAAAGTTTATTTATGCGGTAGTTGATTTGTAAATTCCTGCATTCTATTTGGACATATTTAGGAGACGCATTCTCTTGGCAGTGTGCATTGGAACAGCGCGCAGGTGCATTAGGTGTTATGTTGGCAGTGGCTAGCAATCGTGAGCTTTGCGACAGTGAAACCATTAAGGCCATGTTGTTGCCAGTGGAATGCGCCCTTGTAATGAGCTCACAGTAGGTGTTTTTTATTTCTATAAACCAAAGAAGCATATACGCGGTTGTATTCCTTATTTAGTGTTCTTGATATTCACTTATTCATGGCTGCTATGAATTTTATCATAAATGTTCTTGCAGAGTGGGTAGCTTAATACGATCATATGGCACAAAGATGAGAGCATTGGTTAGTTGTGTACGCGTACGCGTTTATCAGCTTCTTATGCTCTTACCACCGAAGAGTTACGAGCGTGAGTTACTCGGAATATAAGTTTCTGTTATTGTTTTCCACAGTACGTTGAAGAGTGCGTTTATTCTATTCGATGGTTAGATATGTTCCATTCGTTGTTGCGTGAGCTTGTAGCGGAGATCACGCTTTCGGATGACCATGCTTCACAATTGATGACATCAGTGGCTGACAGTATATGCTCTGGTGCTGAGCGTACTTTGTTGTCACCGTGGAGTGGGGGGACGACCGATCAAGCGTTGGTAGAAGATCAGGTTGGTACAATATTACGGTTGTAAGGGCATATGCTAAAATTGCGTGCCATTCCGAACGTAGATGATGTCTTTGTTTAGCTGCAAGTTCTGTCGCAGTTGGGTAGTGGAGCACTTGAGAACGATGTTACATGTCTGATCAGGTTAAAAGTGTTTTAAATGTTTTGTTTTTGACTTTAGATGCACTAAAATTTTGTTGACTCTTCTAAGCAATGCTATGATGGTTAAATGGAGTGTAAACAATAATTGCTCAGAATTTCCTTACCTGTCGGATCACTCATTAGCTCCATGTTAATAGTGTAGTGCAGTCAATATTAGTCTTTCGTAATGTGTAGTAGGAAATTTTAGGTTGTATATCGGTTTTTTGTTAGTACTCCATATCACCGCTCTAAAAAATTGTTTTATTCTGGATGATTATCTTGTTTATCCTCATCTTGGCTGAAAGGTGTTCCTGGGTGTCGGGCTGCGATGTACACCGGGGACTTCATTTCCCCGGCAGGGTCTCCCAAGCTGAGGAGTCCGCCGCTTTTACCAAGAAGCCTAGTTAAGAGTAAACCAATACCAGGATCCATCACCGTTCTGGTGTCAAACCATTCCCATGGTGGCAAATCTCCTTCTGATCCACAAGGGGCGATTGCCTGTGGTGATGACGACCTGGGGCAGACTTTGGCCAGGCTGATTACAGGACTCTAGGGAATCACAATAGGTAGAACAGCAGAGCTCCGAAAAAATGGAAACTATGCTGGAGCCCACGCAACCAGTGAGAGCGGGCCATCCAAGTGTCTAAGTATTTTGCTTATTATTTGCTTTGCTCCATTCTTCTTCACATATACTGTGCGGCTGCCAGCACTTCTTGCATTCGATTCGTTTCCTTGCAAATCCACGAATGTTCTCGAACTTTTCACGTGTGAATTCGACTGCTGCTTGAGAATTGTGTTTTGTATGAATGTCGTTGAATGCTCCTTGAGTAGAATCTCCCTAGATTCCTGGGATAGCTGGGCGTTCTCATTTGGATCGCAGATAGTGAATTTTTCGCAGACAAGTCTGTACCAATTTCCCTATCTCAGAGGGTTGATAGGTTTGACGGGTCCGAAGCGGGATCGAACCAACCATGTTCGTGGTGATCGGTGATTTTCGATAATTAACTCCATGTAACCCAGGGTAATTATCCTTGCTACAGGAGAAAAGTGTGCATTAGTCAAGTTTAGAAATTATTTTAAACGTTTTTCTTATTTTCACTATGCAGTGGTTGCGCGAAGGATGTTCATAACCTATGGCCAGAGCCTGATACCTCACAAGTCGCATCCTTGGACGCTGCGGTGCAGACATTTGGAAGGGTGATGCTTGATTTTTTTATTCTTACCTATTCATTCATTACTTCGGCTTATTTTGGTTGACATTGCTTTCATTTTCTAGGTGTTTCCTATGGTACCGGAACGTCAAAAACTCCAAATCACGGAGCATTTCATGGAAGTGATTAAAAATTGTAAGCAGACGCAGCGCCAACAGGCGGTAAGCTGTTGCATAATTTTTTCAAGCTTCCGTTTGATTCATAAATGTGTAACGTAGAAGTGATGATTCTGCATTATATTGTGATGGCGGGTAGAGTGTGTGTAGCGCAGTGGTTAGAGGTGTCCAGCAATATACATGGCCTCGATTTCCTACCCAGGCTTATCAAGCCTTCGTTCCTTCCGAGGTCGGTAATATGGTGCCAAACCTGTCTTGGAGGAAAAGAGCACTGACTCAATGTTTTGTTAGGCCAAAACAAATCATTTTAGTAGCCAGGTATGCATTCAATCACCTCTAGCGTTGCTTGATGAAGTGGAATGCATGGTGAATCCCTCAAAAATGGAATGACGCCGTGAGCTCTCTCTTGTTTATTGCGATGACACGGATCGTCTTCAGTGATTGATCTGCCGCTGATTAGTTCGCAAGCCACATGGTGCTAATTGGCAGATTGTGAGTCAAACCCTGGTCAAAAGTTACCCTATGCTTATATTGAGGTGCAGACAAATTGGCAGAGAGTTGGACTTCCTGTTTCTGCTATGTCGAAATGATTTTTACTCACTGTATTTGTGTAAGCGCCAGTGATGACGTCGATCAAGAAGCAAAGGGGCTAGTTCGATCCTCTCACCAACGCTACCAGGAGGATCAATTCAACTGGTATTCTGCGACATTCATAAAGAAGGCAAAATCCTCAAACAAGAACTGAAGCAACACGTCAAATGTTCGAAGACCACTTTAGACAATGAATGCAAGGAAAACAAATGGAATTCAAGAAATGTTGAGATCCGCACGGTAGTAGTAATGGTGGGTCGTATAAAAAATGTAGGAAAAAAGTGTATTTGTATACTATTCATGAACTATGCATTTGTGTGGGTATGTACATGTATGAATTTTCTTCTTGGAATCATTTCATCAGAAGCCGGTAAACAAGTGTATTTGATGTATATGGGAAGTGGTTAGAAGACGCCTCAACAAATATGCTCTTCGTCTACTTTTGGAAAGTTTGATTTCAGCAAGCTTCTAATCGGTATCAATCGCTAAAGGCAATTATGAGTCTCATTCCTTTGAACAGCGAAGCGTTTTCTGATACTATAGCATTCGATAGAATTATGACATAGGGAATCCTAAAACCTTAGAGTTGTTCTAGACAGCCTCAATATTTAATGACTAAGGCGACAACTGTCTTAGTTGACACAACCGTTTGAATTCTTCATTCAGGACGGTACATGTTGCTAATAGTAAGTATGACGTCACTTGATTGTTAGCACGAGAAGACATCGGCACTGAGCGCCGTTTATCCCACCAGAGGAGAACTGTTCCTTGAAATATGCGAAAGTGGAGTGACGACGTTGGTGTCATTGTCAGATCGAGTTTGATCGTGGACATCGACTCTTTTAAACAACTAAAAAATAGATCCGAACATTTATACAAGAAGAATGTAGGGCAGTATTAGCTATGAGACCCATTTGTGGCCTAAGATTAATTGTAGCGAATACGATGTAGGGGCAATCTGTTTGACTTGAAGGGATTCTATATAGAGCGTTGTACCTTCTATATAAGGTCATCATTAACGATTCGAACGCTAAGAATGGGCCTTGGAGATGGTATGAGGAATTTCACATCGGGATCGACGGATTATATTGGAATAAATAGAGTGCGCGGCTTTTTTAGTTTATCATGGGATCAAGACTATTCATAGTAACGCAAAATTTCAAGAGCCTTCTACTCATCATAGGATATAGGTGTCTGCTAGCAGGGAGTTTTATAGAGATATAGTCCACTACCAGTGCCCCAGTTTAATTCAAAGTCTGGTCCTGAGGATTGTCGCAGTTGTGTTTACCTGGATCGTAGTGAACCGTCTAGTTCCAAAGATGAGCATCAAGCTTAGTCTCGGTGACAATCACGCAACCAATGAAGAAAAGAAAAGTCACCCACTGTGCAGCAGTACAATACCACATGTGATGCATCTTGACTACATCTGTTGTATTAAGCTTTCAAGGACTGTTTCAGAGGATGTCGTGGGGACAAAAAGGCCACCTACCCGTTACATAAACTTTTTTACAAAGGTATTTAACGTGAACCTTAAGGTGATAATGTGATATCCTTCGTATTATTTAAGCATTCGGAGTCTATGTCGTGCATATGAATGGGCAGGCGTGAAATTTGCTAGCACCTGATTAACTTTATGTTCCCTCTGCTTTAGTCATCCATGACAGTGGTCAGCTTGTGCGAGATGTTTGCAGGTGCCATTCCGTCAACTGTAAATTGTTCCGAGCTAACAATGCACCTGATTCACATGAGCCACAACTCGTCCAGCATTCGAATAGGTGGCGGTCTTAGAGAACAAATTTATCATTCGGTGGTACTTACTAAAGTTTCGTCGTGTACCTGAAGTTACATACGATGTTTCTTCAAATTTCTGTATGGCGTATTCCGACTATGCAGCTGCACTACTACGAAACTTCCGACATATCGTTTGCTGTATTCGCTTGATACCCTTTATTCAGTCGCACTTGGGCTACGTAATCAATCAGACGACCACCTATCTCAATTTCTTCGTCACACAGTGAGGTTCTCCATAGAACTGCTTTTTTTCGACGTATTATTAAACATATCCCTGTCTTAAGCTTTCTTAACCTTTTTATTTTCTGCCTATTATTTTTAATGGCAGGGTATTTTGTGAAATATGACTACTATAATGCTGAGATATTTGCAAAACTCCGGACCGCAGATATCTGCGGTGGGGAACGAACGCGCTATTGTCCTTCCCGGGGAGTAACGCGCTCACCACCACACCATCCGGGTCCTTCATTTCGCCTGTCTCTCAGCTATTTCTATCGATCTTTTGCCATCCGCAATCACCCGTCAACGGGTTTGATTTGGGGAGCCCAAATCGACATTGAACCAAGTTAAGCCGAGCCTATAGATATAGTCTCAGCTAGAAAGGCGAAACGAATGACCCAGATGGTGTGGTGGTGAACGCGTTACTCTCCAGAAAGGACAATAGTGCGTTCGTTCCTCACCGCAGACATCTGCGGTGCGGAGTTTTGCAATTATTTCAGCATTATAGTAGTTATATCCCCGTCTCTTCAAGCTTTTTGGGAATCTCTTTTGCTTCGTTGATAGTTTTGAAAAGGAGAATGACAATATTATACCTTTTTATTTTCTGCCTACTACAATTTTGCGGCAGGGTACTAAGCGAAATATAACCACAACGTTGCTGAGATATTTGCAAAACTCTGGACCGCAGGTGCTTGCGGTAGGGAACGAATGCGTTATTGTCCTTTCCGGGGAGTAACGCGTTCACCACCACACCATGCGGGTCCTTCGTTTCGCCTGTCTCTCAGCTATTTCTATCGATCTTTGCCACAGTAATCACCCGTAATGACAATATTGTTCGACAAAATTGACATTTGAAATTAAGGTCTTCACTGATTCGTATGCTCTTTTCTTTGTAGTGCAGTAACTTCATTATTTCCTACCACATTGTAGTGAACTTAGAAATCCTGTTGCCTGTGGAGCAGTCATCCTTTTGGAGATCTTAGGAAGACGACGAAGAAAACGTACTGTAATGGCGCATTTATGGTAGTAGCCAAGTAGAGTTAGTTTTCCACTTTTTATTTGACAGGCGTTAATGGAACTGCATTCATTTTGACATTACTTGTAGTCTACATGGGCTAAAACTAGACGGCTTCTATTCCGGCAGTACTTGCTTGATCCTGCATGCTGTTCGGATGTTGTTAACGCAGCAGAAATCTTTTTTTGTAGAGAAAAATTGCAGCAGAAACCTTGTCGTAATCATGATTGCTCATCTGGTGGGGCGTTACATATATTTTTTCAAAACATACTTTGTGAACTAGTTTATGTTTTGTAAGCTTACTAGATCATAGTCAAAATGCAAATAGAGTGGTATTTTGAGGTCGTTTCGGTCACCAATTTTGGACTGGTTGACCATGAACAAAGTCCTTCACTGCTTAGGAAGTTTTTTTTTAAAGGAAAGTATTGTAGTGGGTTGTGAAAAGCGTATCTATTTCGTGGCTCGCAGCTTAGGAACTCAGCCGTTGTATGTGTTGCTGATTAAGCTGTTTCTTTTCGCATTCTTATGATCACAGTTGAGATTTTATAGTCAAAAGTCCTGCATTGGCTTTCTGTAGCGGTAATTCTCGGTACGGCATGCGGTTTATGGGACGGAAAGTATTGGAATAGAACTTCTGTTTTCGTTTATAAGGGTTTTACATAGTTTCTTCTCAATGAAGTGTCGCTGCAGTTCATTTTTTTTTAGATTCAGTTGAACGTCATTTGTGCAATGGCTCTTGCATTTCGCTGCATCACAGAATCAAGAGGTGGTGTGCGCCTAGACAACGAATTGTTGCGCAAGGCCAGTACAGGTCTTATAGAATTGAGCTTGGAAATGGCCACCACATCGCTGGCTCGAGCTGTTGCTGCGGAAGCCCTTGGTCGTCTTGCTCAAGCAGTTGGAGATCCACAGGTGAATGTTTTTGCTGATATTTTCGGAAAGAGTACTATTAATTGTAAACACGTTTATAACAACATAGATTTCATTGTTTGCGTGGCTGCAATTCTACACAATCACATCTCAGCACAGGGCGCGTGTAGCGCACTGGTCAGAGGCGCTCTGCAATACACACGGGATCATTCTCCGGGTTTCAGGGTCATCAAGCTTCCTGTCCCTTCTAGGGTCGGCAAATTGGGTCCCAGACTTGTCTGGGAGGATAACAGCACTGGCTCGATACATTGGTAGGCCACCACGAATCATCGTAAAGACGAGATATGCATTCAGTCACCTCCAAAGATGGTTAATAAAGTCGAATGCATGACACATCACTCAGGGATTGATCAACGCCGAAAGCTCTATCCTTTTTCTCCTACCTAAGCTTTTAGGGATTATTGTCAATTGAAATAAATAATACCAGATCTTTGTCAACAAGATGCAACCCTCCTGCTGTACAGAGATAAAATTCTTATGAAACACGCGAAATGAAAACTGTAACCCACATAGACTAGTTTCTCATAGCATGGAATTACGAACTACACACATTGTTCGCGGCAAATATGTCATTTAATCACATGGAAAGAATCCCTGACCAGTGCGGGACTCCGGGTACACTTGAACTATCTAAAAAGGATTTCGACAGGGATTCTGCTACATGGATTACATCCATGCTGCACAGAGTGGCATATATTACCTTCATACTCCTGCCTCACGTAACACTACTTCTAACCTTTGTTGAATGCAGGACCAAATACGTACTATATAGAAGTACCAACTGACTGGTATCATAGCTGCATAAGGTTTCTTTATAGAAATTTTATAGAAATAGAGGTTTCCCATCGATCAGTTACCGTCTAAATAGCGCAAGAGTCCGAAAGCACAATAAATATCGTTGAAGCTATTTGCCATAATGTTGTAGTGAACCGATAAATCAAATTGGAAGAGAAGGGTATACACATTAGTTATAAATGCTCACCAAAACTTCGACTTGTTAACAATACCGTTTGTATGAAAACACCTGTGGAACAACGATAGTACTCAGGTAGCTGAGAAAGTGGGAAAAATTGCACGACTATGCGTATAATGAGGAAGGAGCATTTGGCGGGGATATAACTTTAGAGTTTTTTTTTATGCGTCTAACTTAAGCACCATAGGCGTGAATAAACACTTATTTAGCCTATTCAGTAACTTGCGTTAGGCTACCGATATGGCAAGTCAGTGTTCTCGATTTTTGCATACAAATTGGGTTCCAATTCGGTGAATTCAAGAGAAGATGCTTAGTTTGAGTCAGGTATGGTAAAAAACCACCAGCGACACTATGCACAGAAAACTACCTCAAATAATTTTGCTAAAATTACCCTACTATAGTATAGCTGTGATCGCCATCAAATATCCAAAATGTTGGTTGTTCAGCAAACCTGCACAAAAGAGAGTTTTCTATGTAGTAAATTCCTTAGGCAAAATAGATATGACTGTAGTGGCGGCTGCGATGGATGCACCTGTGTTGTAGTGACCATTGAACCGTTCACTACTTTGTAGTAGTTCAGTGGTGAGAATTGTAGTTTGTAGTGAATGTTAGATAGTGTATAGACTATCGGTTAGTTGCTGAGATATTTGCAAAACTCTGGACCGCAGGTGTCTATGGTGGGGAACGAACGCGCTATTATCTTTTCCGGGGAGTAACGCGTTCACCACGACACCATGCGGGTCCGTCGTTTCGCTTGTCTCTCAGCTATTTCTATCGATCTTTTGCCGCAGCAATCACCCGTCAGCGGGATTGATCTGGGGCGCCCAAATCGGCATAGAACCCAGTTAGGCTGCGGCTGTAGTTGAAATCACAATGTTATACCTTTTTATTTTCTGCCTACAATAATCACCTACGGTTGATTGCGGCGGCAAAAGATCGATAGAAATAGCTGAGAGACAAGCGAAACGAAGGGCCCGCATGGTGTGGTGGTGAACGCGTTACTCCACGGAAAGGACAATAGCGCGTTCGTTCCCCACCATAGACACCTGCGGTCCAGAGTTTTGCAAATATCTCAGCAGCGTTGTGGTTGTATTTCGCTTAGTACCCTGCCGCGAAATTATAGTAGGCAGAAAATAAAAAGGTATAATATCGGTTAGTTGTTTCTGCTTGACTCTCGAAAGCGAATCTGTTTCATGATTCTTACTATTTGATAGTTCTGTAATATAGGTATTTACCCTTTGACGTTTGAAAAGCTGTGAATTGAGAGTCAAGAAATGGAAATTGTAGTTCTGTGGTACTAGAATTGATCTGTAGGCTATGATTGCCAAATGGCCTGCAACTAGAGTTATTCGTGAGGATTATGGAGTCTGATCGGTGTTGAACTGTTTGCTTAGACGAACTTGTATCTGCTCTTTCTTCACCACGCGGGTTTTGTGATAGTTATCTTCACAGCGTGATTCTCAAATTTGGGTAGTTAAGCTGCTTATAACAATAACAATACAATAACGAAAGGGAGATATTGAAACAGCATAAGCGGCGCGATGGTAACAAAATTAATGAATAAGCATAACACAATGAGATAGAAGTCACCTTGAGGTAAGAGAGTAGTTGTATTGGCTATTGGCTTAATATGAGAAAGAGGTTTCACTTAGAAATACAATTTGACTTAGAAAGCTAAAGAGCATATGGTATCGCGGGCACCAATGGGACCAGATAGTTGCTAGCGCGAGTGGCATAGTGTAATTGGCTACCGTATTAGTAGTGAGGAATGGTGTCAAGTAGAGTACAACAATGAGGTTAATATGATAGGAAATACATAGAGAAATAAAACAGCTTTAACGCATGTGTTATTATTAGGAGGATAACAAATGTAATGCGCAGCAATGACTAGTACTGCTTATATTTATGGACAGCCTAACAACTGAGATCTGCAATGTGAGCTGAAGCGAGAATGTGAAGACTAAGGCAATACTTAGACCAATGAGGTGTTAACATGCAACGAAAATACAAAATGTTTCTTAATTCTTGGAGATACAATGTGGTTATAATTTTATATACTATGGAAGGTCAATGCCTAAGAGATTCCCTACAATTAAGTACGGTAGAGCAATTTGATGACAAAAGATGGACAGAGATGGCAAGTGTCAGGGACGGATATGGTGAGTGGCAGGAAAGCCGATGTATGAGCCTCACCAGGAGACCACGATTTTTTTTTTACACTGTCTCGGAGTGGGCACATGGTTACCGTTGTTGACCATTGCGTCGTCCTCGTATATCACAATTATGGCGGCAAAGGCGTTAACAATATTGTGTTCCATCTGTTATTGAAGGTATATGATATTGTTTATACCAGTATATCCTTTGTTCTTGACAGCCTCAATTTGCGAGCAAGTGCTCGTTGGTGACCCGCTATCGTTTTTGTTGTTGTTGTTGTTACAGCTAATTCTTTAGGTCGTATCTAGCTAGACGTCAATCACTATCATAAGATATATAGAATAAAGTTGCTATAGAGAATAGTATTTCTACTAGATAATGTTTATTAGTCGACATGTCGACAATGACATACCAAATTCATTCCTAGTTTTCATGACCACAGACGATTATCGTTGCACACTTTATACTTTTTATCAATTACATTCCAACTGCGTATGATATATTCTTTATTACTGCACGTAATTCTCATTACAAAAGGCATGTCATATCTTCTAGCAGCAATAATTTCTAAAAATGATAAATTCGCTTGAATGATTTTGCCTCTGACTTAGTGAGGAATTTAAACGGCATATCGATTTGCATTCGTAGCATTCTTTTGATAAAAAGGGTACTTGATGTCTTTCGATACTCAACAAGCCTATGGAACATACTTTATGCAGGTTTAATAATCAAGCAATATTTTAGGTATTTAATAGCGGTCGCAACTATAGTAGGATATATGTAGCAAAAGTATTAGAGGTAGTTTTCTGTGTATAAGGTCGTTACTGGTTCTTTACCATGCATGGCTCTAGTCAAGAATCTCATGTTTGAATTTTATTTAGTTCGTCGCTCAACGAGCTCAGTCATGCTTCGACAAACTGCGTGTGTTTCGTGATGGACGTCGGGCGGGATATGCGCTCACACTAGGATGTATTCACAGGCATGTGGGAAGCCTGGGAAGCGGGCAACATTTGCATACGGGTGTTTCCATCCTCTTCGCGTTGGCACGAGATCACAATGCTCCGTCTGTGCAGGCAAGTTCCTTATTCTTAGTTCAGTCTTGCATCTTTTCTCCCTCAGGCTCGTTCTTGTCTTAGATTTAGTACGCATCACTTGCGCTGCTTTATGGTTAACAAACCGTGGTCGGTGACTGGTATTTCTGGGTGATACATGACCGATAAATATCCTTTCAAATTTGAAGAAACGTAAAAGTTTATGGTAAACATTTAAATTGAAACAACTAAAATGTAAAATTATTGTCAATAAGTCAAGTTTTCTTATCGACTTTTTTAAAGTATACCAGAGGCGTTCCTCAATATATCGTTGTGTTTGGGCCACCCTATCGTCCGCTGAAATCTTTAAAAATTCGATCTTTTAGAATTTTTGAAAATTTAAAGTTAAAGCCTAACAAGGAATTTCAGAGGAACTAAACCTTTGTGAATCTAAAAGATACCCTAATGCACATGCTCATATGTTGTTTAGTTGGATCTCACACTTATGACTGAACAAACTCGTCATCGCTTCGGGGTCTGCAGTCTGATAATAGAATTATTTGAGAGTGTTAAAAAAATTAAAAAGGGGTTTTTCTTTAGAGTTTACTGTTGCGTAATCCGTCTTTTTTATCTACTATGTAGATCTCGTCACTTCTTACATTCGATTCATTCTTTCCCCGCATCCACCATCCACTAAGCTCTTCGAACTTCGTGTTTGGGCTCGACTGCTTCTTGAGGATTTTCCTTTCGTTATGAATGTTCCTGAATTCTGGTCGAGTGGATTCTTTCTGGAATCCTGGAATAGCCGTGCAATGATGTTTCTACGTGGAATGGAAAGAGTCAAAGTGTCAAACGCAAGTGTAGTACAATTCGTCGAACCAGCAGTGATGAGAGAATTGGTGAACCCAGACTCGAGTTGAACCATCATTCTGCTCGTGATCAGCATCGCAGCCGCTGCGGCACTCACCTCACTTTAAAGGAAACTAGAGAAAAAACAAAGGAATTAAGCAAATTTGGTATACCGTTATTCTAATGGTATTCTTGTGCATGGCCAAATAGATGTCTATTCAGTCACCTCTACGTTGCTTAATGATGTAGGAGAGATGATATGTCTCTATGTGATACATGTAACCTGGAACATTCCATCTTTTTTCCATTTACTTGCAATTTGCATTATAAGCTTTAGTAATTGTCTTTTTCTTTCGTTTTTAAGTATCCGGTTTAGCTAATGCGAATTAAAGCCGTTAAATCTTAGGCGTTTTAATTTTAAAAAAATGGACCTCTATAATATAGTGGGGTTCTAATAAAACGAATGAACTAAGGGTAATGAACTCTCTATGACGGAATCAAAAGTTTTTCATTTCTCACTTTACTGTTATTAGTTGATTGTGCGTATGGCGCAGTGGTCAGAGACGCCCTGCAATTCACATGGGATCGATCTCCGAGCCGGTGGCTCATCAAACCTTCCATCATTCTGGGGTCGGAAAATTGGTACCAGAGTTGTCTGGAAGGACGGCCGCTCTAGCTCGATACACATTGTAGGCCACCGCGAGTCACTGTAAAAGCCAGATATGCATTCAATCACCTATCACTTCGAACGATGCTTAGTGAAATTGGGTGCATGGCACATCCCTCAGGGATTGATCAACGCCGAGATCTTTATCATTTATCCTTTTACTGTTGTCAGTTGTCGTTAATCTCTCCTCTTCCTAACGGTTTACCGCCTCATCGTAGCCGGGAGGTGTTCCCGGGTATCGGACTATGATGTACAGCGAGAAGGTTCCTCTCGCCGACAGGGCCTCTCAAGGTGGGAAGGAGTCCGGCGTTTCCATCAGGTAGCCTAGCTAAGAGTAAACCAACACCAGGATCCACCACCGTTTTGGTATAAATGCTGCGTAGTGACAAATCTCTGATCCACAAGGGCTGGCCGTGGTGGTGAAGACCTGGGGTAGACTTTGGCCAGGCTGACCTCGGGATTCCAGGAAGCCACAATGGCTTAACCAGCAAATCTCTGAAAAATGGTGATTATGCTGGGGCCAGCACAACCACTGAGGACGGCCGTTCAAGTATCATGTACCGAGTAAGTTTTCGTTAATATAATGTTAGGATGCTGTCATTGTGCACATGTGTTAATATAATCTGCCGGCTTACAACTCCTTTCCAGGCATGGGCAATGGTCGCGCTTTCTTTAATTGCCGAAACTGGTGGTGGAATGTTTCGCGGTTACGTCGAGTTGGCTTTGAGCGACTGTCTTTCATTGCTACTTAATACTCAGTCTGGAAATGTGGAAGTTGTACAAGGTGTCGGTAAGCTGGTACGTTTTTTTTCGGTTTTTCTATTACGCCGTATTAGTTTATATTATTATTGGTAAAAACACAAATTGAGCCCAACTTTAAAAGTTGAAGTTACAGCTTTCGGCGTTGATGACATGTGTTGGACCGGAGTTAGGTTCATGTGGCTCTATTGAAAGTCTTCGTGGTTCGTTACTGGCAGCTTGTGCAATACAGGTTGTTTTTCTAGTGACTTTATTCTTTATGAGGTATTAGAGTCGTCTGTTCTTCTTTACCTTTACATTTGTTTGATTACGGTTTTCTTAGTAACTTTGTCCGAGAAATACTTTTATATATTTTTCTCGAAAAAATCTGACGAATCAAACGAATTACGAAGCAGAACAAATTCGAAATCGATTCTACTATCATACCTTTGTAGCTCTCTCATCCTGATCCACTTATTAAGTCAGAGGCGATTAGTGGTCTACAGCAGATGCATCTTTATGGCCCTCGCTACGTCAATCTAGGTCATTTAGTTGTCGATATAGCAACGTGAGTTGTTTTCTCGTTATTATTGTTATAAAAATGTTTATTTTGCCTGTTTATCGAATGATGTCGATGTTTAAACCTTGCTATAATTCTCCATTTTAACACATATTTGTTGGCCTCAATTTATACCCTTTATTTTTCGTAATTGTTTCAGGTTCCTATCAAGTCAACATCTCTGTCTTCGTAAAGCGTCTCTTTGTTGTCTTCGTCAGCTTGTTCAGCGGGAAGCTAGAGAGGTCCATTGTTTTTGTTCCTTATATTATTGGGGAATTCAAAACTGTGGCGATTAACATTTTGTTTGCAGGTTCGCGAACATGCCCAGGTACTAGTACCTCAAGGAATTGTTGACGAGGGTAAAAAACTTCCACTACCTGACACTGGTCTCGAGGGAGCCCTCTTTGATATGCTTGATGTGGAAACAGATCCAGTATTGAGAGCCCATGTGCAGGTATGAAGAAGTGTCTTGGTTAATCTATTTCTACTTGTGTATTAAAATAGTGTATCTTTTCTATAAAATAGTGTATTATCTTTTAGGAAACTATAATTTCTCTTGTTCAAGCAACATGTGGTGAGCTTTTGAACCAGTGGCTGTTACTTTGTAAAGATATATTGGCCACGTCTAGCGACAGTACACGAAGTACCATGATTATTGGAGAGGAGAAAACTGTAACAGAGGGCGAGGAAGAAGACGAGGTAGGATGCTTTGGTTTCAATTCTTATGTTCTTTTTTCAATATTATTAGTTACAGTACCAAACACAACTCTTTCCTGCTTGAAAATGTTACAAGAAGAAGAAAAACAGGATGCATTCTTTAGCTTTTTTCAACTAGTTGAAAGACAGATGAAACGAAGGACCCGCATGGTGTGGTGGTGAATGCGTTACTCCCCGGAAAGGACAATAGCGCATTCGTTCCCCACCGCAAACACATGCGGTCTAGAGTTTTGCATATATCTCAGCAACGTTGTGGTGAATATGTAAATTGATTAAACGGGATCTCGTCTAAAGCAACACTACGGTGTCCCGCTGTCGGCTTTGACGTATGCTACGCTCACATTTAGAAAATGTAACATCCTATGTAAGCACTTCTTTTATTTACTGCCTATTCTTCTTTCATGGCATGGTATGATATGAAATATAACAACCATGATTCTCTATATTCTTGCTGAGATCACAAAATTTGTTACTTTATTCTTTGTTGACGAAAAAGCTGACATTTCGGCGGATTTCGCCTTCCTCAGAGACTGGAAGGTCAAGTTGACTGAAACCTACCTGCCAAACACCTCCATAACCAAACAAGGAAAGCGTTAAACCAAGATTTCAATCGTATTGAAGACAAAACAGCTTCTTAGGGCCCTCACAGCTTACTATAAGTCTTCCACTGAGTTTTCCACGTGGAGACCTACAACACAGAGATCCAGTGGAAACGTAATGTGCCTCTCACATTACAATAGGTCTTATTACGTGGCATTCTTCTTTGCGATTGATTTTCGTATTCTTAGAATTGATGCAGAATGCCTCAAATGTTTTGCTTGCTGCCGTTTTCGATTCCACTGTGAGGGTCATGACTTCTCCTTCAAAATCTCCCCACTACTTCTCTGTCTCTAGTTTCACAAATACCATATCAACATGGTGGTAACATCTTACTTTTTAATATTGAATTTATGCTTCCAAAAGCTCGAAATTATAATGTTTAGCAAGGAAAACCTGTGACCATAGAGGATTGAACTACAATCTGTAAGTTTTTCATTTTCTGAACCTCCCAAGTAAAAATAAGGGATAAGGCTCTTGGCGTTGATCTTTCTATGAGGTATGCGCCATGTATTCGACTTCATTAAGCATTTTTGGAGGTAACTGAGTGCATGCATGGTCTGTACAATGACCGATGTATCGAGCCAGTGCTGCTTTCCTCCCAGACAAGTCCGGTACCATTTTACTGATTCAGGAGGAATGGAAGACTTGGTGGGCCGGGAGCGCAGAGATCAATCCCATGTGTATTGCGGACCGCCTTCGACTGCTGCGCCAAACGCGCCCTTAACTTCTCAAGTGCTTAAGCTATTGAAAAATATCTGATGGTTGTCGAAGAGCAGTGTCATTTTGAATATGTTGAAGCATGATTTTAATATATTACATTGTTGTAGGACACTATTGTCTGACGGTTTTTGTATTTTCTAGGGTGGTGATGATGATGACTCAACCTTGCAAGTGAGTGATGCACGATCAGCTGTTCAAGATAAGGGGAAGGTTCAACCTCGATGGCCTACGAGGGTTTTCGCCACGCAGGTTCTTCAACTTTCATTCGGGCTTTCTTTTCCTTCTTCTTTTAATCGTAGCGCTTTGTTTTAAGATAGTGCAGAGATTAATGAGCGTTTGTGATACTGAGCGAGCTCATCTGGATCTTTCTCTAGCAAAAGAACTACAAATGTCATCAGGCTAGTTTCCTTGTGCAGTTTTATGCACCAACAATTTTCGAAGTTATAAATCTAGCACTGGATTCTTAATAAATGTTGAATTTAATTTTAACCAATATTGGAGGATTTTTCTAGGATTGTACGACTCATAGATTTCTTTCCAAGACTTATATAATCATAACCATCTTTTGATGAAAACTCGGTTTCCGGAGGTTCTTAATAACTTCGTCTTTATCCATTCGTTTTACTGCAAATCAACTTTTTCATATAGAATCCATTTTTCGTCGTTCTTCAATACGTAACTGATAAATGTGTTGTTCTTATTGCCCAAAAGAAGCAAAAGGAAGATTTCGTAATATCGATCTTGTTGCTACTCATCCAGTGGGTGTGGAACTCGTTGTTTTTCACCTTTGCACTGTTATTAAGATGACGATTTATTGTTGTTTGGCCAATATTGAGTTTTTCTGCAACTTCTCAAAGTTTTCGGAGAGTCAGCTTCGATTATATCCCTCAGGTAGTCATTTGCCGACGGGTAGGGAAGAGGTTCTCATCTCGGTTTTATTATGTCATTCCCTAAGCCCATGCGATGATTAATTTCCTGGGCACTCTCTCCTCGGTACTGTGTGCCTTATACGTTCGAAAGTCTTTTCATAGCTCATGTTTTGATGAATTTCTTGTTACTACCGTTGTTCCCTGTCCAACTTTGAGCTCGTTAAGCGAAACGATACGATTTTAATGCTTTGAGAGAACTATTCAATTCAATCCAAACCTTTTGACCTTGCTTTTTTTAAAACTAGAAATCTTTTAAACTAGGTTTTAGAAGAATTATCATATGACAAAGTGTTGTGAACGAAATGACGTCGCAACGGCTTTGTGTTCCAACATGTTACGTTCTCGGGGAAAAAACCATATAAACCAGCGGTCTAGACAAGATTAAAGGTGAGCATCGTAAAAGCGTACCTCCAGTCGTCGTCAACGAACTGGTTCGCTTTTTGGCATTCCAACTCTGAGAATTATTATATGATTCATCTTATTTTAATGAGCGCGTCATGCCTAGTGGAGAGGATAGTGCTGGGAGTATATCATGTCACGTAAATGCGAGAGGGAATGCGAAGTTCTTATCCGTGTTAACGGTCGAAGATCGTAGACGCCGTAATGGGCGCCAAAATGTCGAGAATCACAAGGGCTGGACCTGTGATGCGTATTATCGAAAACAAGTGAATAAGAACTCTTAGTGACCGTGCGCGTGTCACACGTGGAATCGATCCCCACGCCCGTGGCCCAGCAAGCCTTCCATCCCTCCGGGGTAGGCAAATTGGTACCAGACTTGTGTGGGTGAATAGCAGCACTGGCTCGATACACCAGTAAAATCAGTAGGCCACCGCGAGTCATTGTGAAAGCTAGATATGCATTCAATCGCCTCAAACGATACTTAATGAAGTCGAATGCATGGCGCATCCCTCAGGGATTGATCAACGCCGAGAGCTTTATCCTTTTATTGGCGACTGGGCCTCACGTAATGTTAAACGCACAACGGAGTGACCGTCGGCGAGATGTTCGGAATTCTTCGTGAATATCGAGGATCCATGAGCGAGAACAGACCGCAATGGGCTACTTTTGCATGGAGAACGACAAATAGAGACTTTCCTGTCTCCTGCTAGGTTTACTCAATGATTACCAGGATCGTACACTATTCAAATCATAACCAATCCTCAAATGTTATGCGGTTGTCAGTTTCTTCTTCATTCTGTGAACCGTTTTTCTTCTTTCATCCACGAGCATCTTCGCGTTTGCGAGTGCAATGAACTGATACTTATGCATTTTCATCTTCTTTATAAGTGTCTTTGAATGCTATGCAGGTAGATTTTCCCCAAACTGCTGCGATATCTACACTAGAGTGTTGCTAAGGTACCCATCGCAAGCAGCCTGCATCCTTTGTGGATCGGAGTGAATTCTTCACAGACATGTCTGAAACTATTTACCTGACTGTTAGGAGGCTTAGTTAGCTAGGTGGGATGGGAACCAGTGCTATGCATGTATGGTTTTCCTGGTCAGCGCACATCCAATGTATCATTTTCTAGTCATTTGGTTGTAACCTTTTAGCCGAATCTACTTCGAAGTCACAGTTCATGTGCAAGGAAATAGGCATACGGAAGTATGCGTGAGTATAACTAGGTATTTTACGGGAAATGAAGCCAATCCGACGCAATATACAAATGTTTCGTCATTTTGCATGTTTATTATGTTGTGAGCACATCATCACTTTAGGTTTTGGTTTAGTCTTTACTAACCACCACGCACTTATATTTCTAATAGATTTAAGCTCTCTCACATGAGGGTCTGTAAAACGCGTTATATTTATGCTACTACTCTAGTGTCTTACTTGGATACTTGGACGGTCCGTCTTCACGAGTTATGCGGATCCCAGCACATTAGCTATTGGTTTCTTTCTCTAAGCAATCGTCGTCCATGGTGGTGGTTTTGTTCGAGCATGGTGGCGTGTGCGAGTCTCATACCGTGATCTGTAAAATAACTGCGCCTGCGAGTACAGCTGATTGACTTTGGTTACGAATACGTTTGCCTAACGTGTTGATGTCCATCATTAGGATGCCTACATTCTTATATAGTCAGTCCACTGTACAGCTCTTTTCGTCCGCCTGTCGTCTGTTCTTCTCATTACGTGATCGGCTCTATTTTGTTTCACTATCGATGTATATTATCCTGGACTTAGATGGTACGGATTTCGAAGATCAGAGCTTCGCATTCCGGCTAGATATTGAGTGTGTGGGTTATATTTCATAAGGCATCGTTCAAGTGCTTTGTGAATAGTGCGCAATACTGTTGACGTGGTTGAAGTAATAGCTCACGTTTCTGCAGCATAACAGAGCACTGAAAGAACCGTTTAATCGAAAAGGTGAGCGCGGATTTTCAGGTCCTTCAGATTGTCGGTACCTTCCTTGAAAGGTCCGAATGCGGCCCAAGTTGCTCTCTTTCTTGAATTTAGTTACTTCTTCATGTTGCTTGCTATGCTCACTGACCGCCGATTATATACGTACGAAGTGGCCTCTGCAATCAGAGAACCGTCCAATTCAATTTATTTTCCTTCGCACCGTGGGTTTTTCATGAAACGACTCTTCCGGCTTATGCGTTGTCCGATCTTTTTCCCACTTCGTTAAGCTCATTGTTCATTGTCTCTGCTTTGAAGGTAGTGCTTGGGAAGATGACGATTTTATTTAGGAACAGGATAGGGGTTTTCCATCAATAAATGTGCCTTTCTCATTCCCATCGAGTGATTTCATTATCAACTACAGCACCAGACAGCTTTGGCGATGTGCTGTCGCTCTGTCGCACCCCTTTTCCTTTGAGTATGGTAAGAGGCCGATGGAAAAGCTGTATTTTCGTAGTGCAGTTCCGATAACACTCAGAGTTCTTATGTAGGACGAGTCCATTCCGTGGTCGACGAGCGCTGATAGAATTGCATTCGTTTCGAACAGTTTGCATGTGGTCCATGCAGCAAAATCGTTTTCGAAATTATGCTTGCTCTACTGGTTGCGCCTCATCCAATGTGCTTGATATGCGCGAGAGGTTAATCTTCGTGAACAGCTTGTAGAGTGCACTCAACAAACATCGAACAGTAGTCACGAAGATCCCTTCGGTCACCTTTCTTGGAGAGGATAACCGTGCGCGACGTCCTTCACTGGTCTGGAGTTTTCGTTTTGAAGGTAGGCTGTCATATGGTTTGCAAGAAGTACGTCTAAATTGTGGCTTCTGGTTCCAAGGAAGTCGGCAGTAATGTCATCGCAAGGAAGTGGGCGGTGATGTAATCGGCTCCTGGAGCTTTTCCTGTTTTCATGGTTTTCATCATAACTTGAGCATCCGGCTTGAGAATTCCAGGTATTTTTTTTCTAGCTGGGATTTTAGAGTCTGAGACGGAGATTGTGGGACGGAAAAGTTGGTGCAGAACGTTCCCATTATCAATTCTATATTATCGCGGGAAGGTTTGGTGATCCCATCTTCGTTTGTCAGGGCTAACAACGGAGCGTTATAATCGCGCAAGTCCTGACGACATTTTTTCGGACTGGTTCTTTTCTTTACTGCTTCAAGTAGTTTTTTTTTGCCTGTATCGATGTAGATCTTCCAGCAGCTCTTCTGCAACTGTTATTTATTATTAGCCGTGTTAAACGTGTTGCAGTGGTATCAAGCTTCATTTTCCTTCTCTTTTCGAGCAACTCCTTAGTGTTGATTGAGAGGTGATCTAATCTTCTCTCTTTCGACACAGCTTTTCAGTTTTTCAGCAAGCAGCTTATATTTCTCGGCTGGCTCTTCTTTAATCTGCTAGTCACATCTGGATAAGATTTCGTTCAGAATGTTCTGTTCATATACAGCTAGACTTTTTCCTCATGGTCGGTGACATGAATTTTTTTCCGGCTTACAACCGAATCGAATCTTATTATTCTGGTAGAATAGGATAAAATTCATATGGCGCAGTAATTTTGTAAATACAGTCTGTTAAGGTGGTCGTGCCGACTACTTGGTATTGCACCTTTCGGACCTCGTACGAATGTCATTTATGGGTGCCACAAGTGATAATACGGAACTGAGATTGGCTGGTCTGAAATCGCTACAGGTTGGGTTTATATTTATATTCTAGTGCAATTATTATGTCTAGATTGTTAAGCATTCATTGAGGGCCAGATTTGAATATGTACTAATAATTGTGAGAACGTGGATGGAGAAGTTAATTCTGGAGTTTAAAGTCAACATGAAATAACTTTACTGTTGAATCTGTATTGTATTCAAGGTGGTATATGGTACATTTGTATTTTTATTAGGAAGTGATAACTCGCTTTTCTACTGTACCCGAACCCGAATTTCCTGGCCATGTGATTTTGGAGCAGTTTCAAGCACAGGTATTTTAGACTCCATTTAGCAGACCATTATTGCCGATTTATAATTAACTTAGGTACTAAGTGCTAGATGGACTCATTTGCATGCAGTGTTAAATAGATGTGTCATCTAGGTGAAATAAATATGCAACGACTTGAGTTGTTTTCAACTCATAAGTGCAAGTACACCGGTATGCATTGATTTGTACTTATATTCTTTTCGGTGATTTCTTTTACCACACCAAGTTTTTCCGAACTTTTGTATTCAATTCCTAAGACAGGCTTTCTATTAACCTCGGAATTGGATTATAAATGTGTCGTTTTCATTTTCAGCAAACGCGAGGTTGTTATTCAGCACACGTTTACTTCCCTAAAGATGAACACATACAACACAACGGTAGCTGACGTCTCGGCAGTGTCGCCTTCTTCAGAGCCTGGAAGGGTACACTAATATGCAACTTACTAGGTCAAACGCTTCAACAGCATAAACAGAAAGATGAAAACCTGAACGATAATTGCACGATCTCCAGCTTCTCGAAAAACCCACCGTTTTTTACCTGCCTTCCACCCAGGAAGAACAGTCGTTTAGAGGTGCATATGCTCGATGACTGCACCACCCCTCATCAAAAAGCAATTCTGAGATAAGGAGCTAGATTACGTGTTTTCTCTGGGCATTCTTCCCTGCTATTCATTCTGAATCATTCTGAATGAATCTGCCCATTTTTTTTATTTTTTGATGAGGAGATTTTTGATTTTTGACGGAGGGTGGTGCAGTTATCAGCCATATGAGCCTCTAGACGACTGTTCTTCCTGGGTGGAAGGCAGGTAAAGAACGGTGGATTTTTTGAAAAGCTGCAGATCGTGTAATTATCGTTCAGGTTTTCATCTTTCTGTTTGTGCTGTTGACGCGTTTGACCTAGTAAATTACATATCAGTTCACTCTTCTAGGCTTTGAAGAAGGCGATATTGCCGAAACGTCATTTACCGTTAGGTTGTCAGTGTTCTTCTTTAAGGAAGTAAATGTGTGCTGAATAACAACCCCGCGATTGCTGAAAAAGAGAACGACACATTTCTGTATTCAGTTGACGGCTTGTCCACAAATGAAAATTCACAAAAATAAGTGAAAATTTGTCTATCTAGTGACGAAACTGTTGTTGAAGAGAACTGTAAAATGTGGTAAAATGTCTTCTTCCACAGAGGTTTTGGTAACACTGTAATGAGATATTCCGCAGAAGGTCACAGTGTATGCTTTCGTCATTGCATTTCCACACATTATCTTTGAGGACATCGGTTCTGTATTCTGTCATCTTCAAATTTTTTTAGTACCATCAAAAATTCTCACAATTTACGCTTTTCAGATATTGTTTACAACATTACAATCTGTCCATTACTTTATGACTCCCAGTTATGGATATTGTTTAAAAGATTGAGTTAGAGTTACACCTTGAAGTCATCATGGCTTTTCGCGCATTATCCCTATAACAGTGACCATAACGTCGTACGTTTAAGCATTATCTTCATAGATATTTGTGAGTATATGAACAAATTAATGTGCTTGGGAATTACATTATTCTAAACTATACTAAATGCAATAATCAACTATCTCTAAACTATGGAGTAGCAAAAGGATACGTGCTGTTTACTAGTTTTCCTGTTATAGAGGAAATAGAGCATCATTTGTTCACTTGTAAGGCCGCAAAAAACGCAGTGCTCAGAATGTCCTGCACTTCCCATATTTTTATTGGTTTGATTCACGCCCTGGGCAAACGTCGATCCCTCCAGAGTCGGCGCATTAATTGAAGGCTTCCGCTAGAGGATAAAAATACAACCTACATATATTCGTAGGATCTCGCAAGGTCGTTGCATAAGGAATGTGTGAATGCAGTGATCTCAGCGATGCTTAATGGAGTTGATTGCATAGCGGGTCCTTAAAAGATTTATCAATAACGCACGCTTTATTTTTTTCTTTTATGATAGATTATATGATCAAACGATGTTGACAGATTTACCCTCCGACAAGTTGCGGGTGGGTTGTTGTATGAAAAGGTTGTGTCGTCATGCAGTGGACATCATAATAATGTAGTTTGTGCTTCCTGTTGAACACCATGACATCACTTTAATTCTGCTGGGTCCCCAATCATCTAATTTTCAACAGCTGTAGAGTATTTTGCAGGGATAATCCTCCCCTTTCCTTTGTAGCCATGCTGACGAATTATGTCCTTGTCAAGGACAAAATTACCTAACGAGACCGCAGTTATCAAAGTAAACATTCCTTCCATCATCCACTAGGACCTCAATACCAGATTTATCCGCAGCTCCGTTCTTAAGGCGTTCTTGCAGGCACACACCGTACTGATGCGCGTATATCAACGCGTAAGCATGCATTTGGTGCACAATTTGAGTTTATTTCATGTCTGTGCCTCTTATGTGGGATATGCCGGTGGAATGTAACTCTGTGTTTAAACGACACGATGGGTGATGCATATATCTTTGCGGACTCTATGAAATCTCGTAATTTGTGTTGACAAGTTCTATAACTGTTCTGGTTTCTACAACTGTTTCATCCATTATAGTCTATTATTGCACTGCTTTTCATACCTGACTCATTGCTTAGGAGCCAGTAAGATTACGTCCATAGGCTCGTCTCGGACTCTAGTAATCAGTCAAACTTAGTGGATCAACCATTCCTATCCGATCGCACAGACCCTCCACATTCTTCTCTATATCACCATATTTTTTCCCTTGATTGCTATCATATCTCAAATTTCAGCGGTAAATAAGATATTAAAGTATATATCGTTGAAATCTTATTTCTTTCTGTCTTTGTTTTATTTTTATTATTTTTTTTATACTATAAACCCTCACTCCACACCGGATTGACTGTAATAGAAAATCTGGGTGTTGTAAAGCGTTACAGAATTTATCCGCTCACTGCTTACCTCATCACTATTTTTGTCCTCGTTATCTGACCAACCTTCTTCAGACTATTTAATACAGAGCACAAGTTTTCTCATTTCCTGTAGTGTCTTCAATCTCTGTTCGCTATCGGCGAGAAATCGGCCAAAAGTGAAGTTCAATTCGTGTTCGGACAGCATGTTTCAGATTTACAAACTTCAACTTCTTATCAAAAATTGTTTGTTTATTCTTTTTCAATATTTGGGATGAATCACATTTATCCTATGGAGTGACCCGACTTAACAACTGCGAAAAAAATGACACGGTATAACTATTTTGCATATCTTGCGAAGCCTATTACAATGACTCACTGTGCGGAAGTTAGATTTTGAGCAGCTTTCTTTTCATTGCGGCGAACAGGAGTTGGAAAATTTTCAAAAACGTAGGAAGACGCATGGAACATAGAGGACACATGGAAGCTAAAAGTGTTAAATTACTAGAAATGCACAGAGAAACCGATTTACATAGAGCGAACAACACAACAAAGGTAGCAGATATACTTTTTGGGACACAGTATGGCTGCATGAATTATTTTCAATTCACAGCGAGTGCAAGAGTAAAGTCCGGAAAGCGCGTCTTTTTCTCGACTATTCCATTGAATTAGTAAATAGTTAAATATTATGTAATTGATATTTTACAAGAAATATATCATTTGGTGATTGTTAGGTGGGAGCTGCTCTTCGTCCCGCATTCACTGAGGACACTCCGAGTGATGTAACAGCCGCCGCCTGTCAAGTATGCAGTACATGGATCGGTAGTGGAGTTGCTAGAGATTTAAATGATCTACGACGGGTGCATCAGGTACTGGTTCCTTTATATGCTTTTATTTCGGCATTGAACAGTTTTCATCCGCTGTTTTTTTTTATTGCTAGGAACAAAAAGCCTCTTTTTCTTCTATTATAATTTGGTTTTCGTTTCCTAATAATTTATCGTTTTCTTATATTCTATTAACAGATTAAATTTTTTCGTATCCTGACCCAATACCAGACGATGTTTGTAGATTTTGGGTAGAATTTTTAACATGTATTGTGTTCTTATCTTCCTTGTGAGCATGCGTCAGCTGGAAGCCGATGATAATCGAGCAGTTTGGGTGGATGCGAATAAAATCTCTGTTGCGTGATAGGATTGCTCAGTGATCACCTAGTTCGATATAGGACACTCTTTTCACCATACATTGACGTTGAGACATTTGCAAAACATCGATCTCAGACCAGATTCGAATTCTGAGAATCATATGTTACCCAGTACCGGAGTGGGGTCTTTGCTCTACCGTCTTACAACCAGTTTTTTTTACCCTAACGGTGCTATTAGCAATCATCCGTCGAGGGGTACTGTCTCGGCAGTGCAAATCGGCGTTGGTTTTGAATCAAATTAAACTATTTTCAATGATAACTTTTCACTTACTGCCCATTACAATTTTTCATGACAGGGTACTGTGTGAAATACAATCACAATGATGCTGAGATATTTGTAAAACTCCAGACCACAGGTGTCTACGGTGGGGATCGAACACGCTGTTGTCTTTCCTGACGGGTGCTGATGCGTTCACCACCACACCATGCAGGTCCTTCATTGCGCCATTCTCTCATCTACATCAGCAATAAACCGTCAACGGGTTTGATTCGAGGAGCACAAGTCGACAGTGAACCTAGTTAAGGTGAGGCTGTAATCGAGATCACAATGTTAACTTTGTACTGCGGTTCGGAGTTTTGCAAATATCTCAGCTTCATTTTAGTTGTATTCCACATAATATCCGACTGTGGAAAAATAATGGGCAGTAAATAAAAACTGTATATTGTGATTTAGACTGCAGCTTCACCTTAATTGAGTTCAATGCAAATTTGTGCTCTCAAGATCGTTCCCGTTGGCAGGTGACTGCTAAAGGCACTGTTAGGGTGAAAAGACTAGCTAAGAGAAGGGTAAACCAAGGGCCTCCGTTAGTGTGGCTGATAGTGAAGCACTGGAAAGGGTAATCGTGTGTTCGAAGCCTACCTGAGGTCCCGAGTTATTCTCATATTTTAGTGCCCTTGCTATTGTACTTCACATAATACTCTGCTGCGAAAAAATAATGCAGTAAGTAAAATGTTATACATTGCGATTTTTCACTGCCGTTGGTGCGAAAGTAGCACGTGTTGCCTTACAGGACACAAGGCATGTTTATTTTTGACAGTGAAATGAAGTTTCCTCCCATATTCTCTACGTTTCTATCTAACTTCTTTTTTTGAGGTATATAAAGTGTAATTTTTTTTTATAGCTCCTTGTGTCATCATTACGCAAGTTGAAGCATGGTTCCATCAATACGCAGTTGTATAGCGAAAGTGCTGCAACACTAGAGAAGCTGTCAATTCTCAAAGCATGGGCTGAGGTATATGTGACAGCTGTTGCTCAAGAAGCGAAGTTCAACGGAAATCGTAATAACAATGGTAATAAATCAAGTAGCTGCTAGTTTCCATAAGTGAAGACCTCTTACTATTATTTCTATGGTTTATAAATCGTATTTTCAGATGAAGATGATAACATTTTTGCTAGTTCAACGGAAACACTTCTATCGCTAGTTCGTCCAGAACTTGATTCCCTGGTCAGTTACTGGCTGGCCGCTCTTCGGGATTCCGCCTTACTTTCACTTCCAGCTCAGTTTTCGAAGCAACTCCCGCCTTCGGGTGGTGCATTTTATAAGGCAGAAAGTGCTGAGGTGTTGTTTGAAGTTTTCATTTTCTCTCCTGGCATGTTAATGATTCTAGTTCGTAGAAATATTCTTATTTGTGGATCTATGTCTAGGTTTATTTGTAGCCTTGCATGAGGCTGGCCAACTTCTTAATCTGTTTGACTCATGGATAAAATTACCATTCTCGAAGCGGCAATGACTGGAATCGGTGTCTACGGTTTTTTCCTGCTAGGAAACGCAAGAGCATTGTCAACTAATGTTGAACTACATGCCTTCCTTGAAGACTTAAGCGATATTAAATCTTTGACAGTCCTCGCCCATGTATTACTCTATGCGGCTGCTATCTACAAAATAACTTAAATGCTTACAATAAATAAACGGCTCTGAAGAAGCGAAACCGCCGAAGCATCGGCTGTTGTATCCTAGTAAATTCTATAATAGCAACCTCGTGTCTGCTTATTGAAGAAAAACATCGAATTATCAACCAATGCCGAGGTTAACAGAAAGTATGTCTTGGGAATATATGATCTCTGTCCGAGAATACAGGTAGTCCGGGTTCAGGTGGTAATATGATGGAAGTAATCCACAATAATTGGTTCTTTCAGGTTGATAAATGTTGCAGGGATGCGCTGCAATTTCTGTAGGGTTTCATTGATTTCGTAGTACTTTTTTGGGTGTGGTGGTTTCACGAGGGCTCAGGACGTTTTATTCTGAACATCGTTAATTGTCCTTCTCATTGCCGACAGTCCAATGAAATCAGCACGTTTCTTCTGAAGAAAGGAAACCAGGAACAGATTTCATTACCCCGACAGCTACATTCTTCGTTAAGTTGTGTGTCACCCACTTTTTGACATTTTCAGCTTTCTGGCATATTTAAAATATTAAACGATTATTGACTGGCCAATGTTCAGTTCTTCCGCAATCTTTGCAATAGTTTCAAATTGGTTTCAACTATCGCCTTCAGATGTGTGCCATCAACTGTTTATGCGCGCTCAGAACATTTTTCGTCATCAGAACTCGCGTATCCACTGCGAAACGTTTCCAACTACCTCTGAATCGCATGTTAGAAAGTGCTTACCTGGTCCATGATCTGTTAACACTTTGAATTTCTTAGGCAAATGTACGTCCAATTTTGAACATATGAGGTGAAACGGTGTGGTTTTATCGCTTTGAATGCACCATTTTAACCTAATTTGTAAAGAAAAAATCGTCTTTATTTTTGCTTCAAGCATTCAATTGGCAGCTGAAATATCTATGCCGAGGATATAGGAGAATGAAATGAAAGGGAGTATCTTTTAAAAAAGAGTATTTCTTAAGAAGTATCATAATGAGATCGTGGATATGATGTCTGGTTACCAAAACTGAGTGACTCCTTCTAACTCACTCTACAGAGTTGATTTCTCTTTTGTTTTACACGACTCTGACATTACACGTTGTGTGGACCCTAGCACTTCTTGCATTCTACTCTTTTCATCGCATCGAACATTTTCAGTGTAGGTTAGGCTGTGAGTTGAATATTTTCTTCTTCTTTATGAATGCCGTTGAACGTTCGTGAATACTCATGCAAACGCGTTGTAATATCTTCATCACACCAGGTGCCAACTTTTGTAGATTGCAGGGAATCAGCTGATTCCATGCGAGTGTGAACCAATTTTCTGACCGTGGATGTGAGGCCTAATAAGCGAGGGGCATGGTCGTAGCCGCGCCTTAGTCCTGCTGAACGGCGTTTTCCACTGCGGCACTTGTCTCTCGGAATAGAACTGTTTATTCCGCAGCTTTCGTTGGAAACGTGAAAAGAGCCAGTGTATTAGGAAATTACACAACTCTTACTTGCTTTGAAGAAGTGAGGAAAATGAAAATAAAGGAAAAAACCGTGCGGACACCATAAAGTAGCGTCTGGAGGAAAACAGCCACCCACTTCAGTTTTGAGGAGGTAATGATGGAACTTAAGATAGATCGTTATGAAAAATTCGTTAAAAGAAAAGTCGATGGTAGATGTGCTTCGAAGATGGGTGCTGTGTCGGGGCCAGCAGTGATTGTGAATAGTGGCAATGGAATTGTGTAAGTAAAATGAACGTTAAGATAATAAGGTAATAATACTAATGATTTAGGCTTGTCGTGAATATTATCGTGCCAGCTGGCCACCCATTCTACTAGCACTGGCAGTGTGGTTGAGCAAGTCGAACTTCGAACTGCCGCTAAATGTGGAGGTACAAACCTTTCTTATAAAAACAGAAAGCTATGCTGTACCATGTTCTATTCGTCTATTTTTAGGTATCAGAAACATGGCCGGATAATGAACCGGAATCTCGATTTCATTTGATGATTGGCATAGCTGTAGAAGCACTGTGTAGTCGAACCACGTATGCGGACGACAATACAATACAGGTTATATCTAAGCGTTTGGATTTTGAATGTATATTTGTTATTTCTTGGGACCACGGAGGTCCCTCATATCATAAGAAAGATCTCGAGCCGGTTAGTCGCGAAGCTGCGTGGCGCGTCGCTAGGTGGCAGATAGAGGGTTAATCGCGGACCAAAAGCGACCGTATGTTTCCCTGAGACGCACTTGGATCCAGGGGATGGACTCTGTTTCTGCTGAGCCGATTTGGCACATACTTTCTGTGTTTGAGAGGCGTATTCATGCATACGTGTGTGGGTACGTTTTCGCTTATGTGGATTGTGTTCTACGAGTCAATTCGGCCAAAAGCCAGCAATCAAGTCACAGGGAAGTGTATGGAAGGCGGTTAGGAGTCGCTTCCAACAAATAAGCTCTATTTCTACTCTGGAAGAAACTGGAAAGCTACTCGTGAGTATATCCAATCCCCACGTTCAGAGCCTAACAAGAACGTCAAATTGGGGCTCACGGATTAAATTGGAACGAACTGGATGAGCGTCTGAATTTATCATGACGACCAAGACCATCCATGGTAACTCGCAATTTCGGAAGTCCCACTCTTAACGATGGATGTGGGATTCTCCCAGTGGAGAGTACCATAACGAAATGGACCACATCATAGTAAACCGAAGGTTTTTGCCTAACCGATGTCGCTGTTGCCCCAAAATTCTACACGGGATCAGACCACCGCATCCTACGTGCAAGGTTCAATTTTTCGCAAAAGGAGAAAAAGCCGGTAAATTCAAAAAACGAAGTCGCAAATGGCAATGGAAAAAATCTTTCACGAATACTACTCAGATCTCTTCGATAGCCACGTCCACCCTCCGTCATAAAAGAGGATGGATATGTTGTACCACCGGTTCTCCCTTCCGAAATCCGACATGCCATTCCGTCGGTGAAAAATCGAAACAGCACTAGGTCCGGATATGATAAGATCAGAACACTTGAAGAGGCTTCCGTCAGTCTTCGTAAACACACTGGTTCTTCTTTTCACACGTTACCTCTCTGAATGCAAGGTCCCTACTCAATGGAAGATCAGCAAGACTTCGTTATTGTTCAAGAACGGTGACCTCCACTGTATGAGAACTATCGCCTAATCTCCTTTCTGTCTGTCGTCCACAAACTTTTCAGTGAAGTCGTCTTCAACAAAATTCACGGAACACTACACGAAGGGCCATCATGTGAGTACGCGCGGTTTCGCGAAGAATTTAGTGCGATGAATCACGTCCACGCGAAGAGGGGTTAGGCAAGGGGATACCATCTCGCCAAAATTACTTACCGGCACTTTCGAGAACATCATGCGGACATTGGAGGGGACAACATGGGAAAATCGACCATCGGCAATTAGACCATCTTCGCTTTGCTTATGACATGGTCCTCATAACGCGAAACATTAGCCAAGCGGAAGGAATGCTTGCCGACTTTGGTAAAGTCTGTGGAAAAATTGGTCTTTGGCAAAATATCACAAAAGTGATGTTCAAGAGGAACAGATTGGTTTCGTATGCTCTACTCACGCTCAGCGCTACAAATACTTTTGCATGCTCCAGCTACGTCTCTCTAGGTCGGGAAATCAGGGTGACGAACGACTTAGCTCCGAGGTTAAGCACGAGGAAGCGAACAACTTGGAGAGCTTTCAGTACCTCTTCGACTTAACGGTGCTTCTTTCGTTGACATATGCGTCAGAAACCTGGTCACTGTGTAAAGAGGATGAAAAAGCGCTGAGCGTTTTTGAATGCGCAGTCGAAAGGGCGATGCTTCGAGTGTCCCGTGTCACGCAAGTAAGGGAACGGATCCGAAGCTCCGACCTGCGTTAACGATCAAAATCAAATATGCCGTTCTTTACGCGAAACAGCCGAAGGTAAGGTGAGCTGGACGCGTAGTGCGTATGAACGACAACCGTTGGATAGGAGCCGTTAGTGACTGGGATGTCAAACGCACTGCAGGAGGACCACCACCCGATGGTCAGAGTTCTTCAGGAAAAGCCTAGAAGAAAGATATGATGCTCGACGAGTCCCTAGAGCGAGCAGAACCCACTGGGCTACTCTTGCACGTAACAGTGAAAATGAAACATTTACTGGCAACGCCCGAGTCACTCGAAGATCAACGATGCTGCAGATGATACAGGTGATTAGGTATTTCTTATGTGAACCTAATCTGTTCCATGAAATTTGTAGATGTATCTCAAAATTAAATTGAAAGGTGTGTGAGGAATCCTGCTTTGGTGTTTAATTTCTTCGATATATATGACAAACTGAAAACTTTCTACTTCAGAGTTGTGTTCGGGCGATTCACGCGCTGTTGCAGTGTGAATGGTGTCAGCTGCAGTTAATGTTAGACGTCAAACTGCCCATCGAACTTTGTAACGTACTTCATCGGTACTGACTTCTTTTTCCTTGTTCCATTAGTCGTAGCTTTTCAAAATTAGTTATTTAATTTAACTAGTTTACTAACTAATTAAGTTGTAACTAAATTATTAGGAGGGAATTTGCGCGGCCAAATGACACACTCAGCGCTAACCATTCTTTGCTGCACTAAAGACAATACGTATTGGGTACATTCCTTTGAGTCGTTATATTCATGGTATCTGTAGCGGATAAAGTAATTTGTTCGTTGTATGATTTTCGCAGCCCATTGTTCGGGCAAAGCATTTTACAACGTTGACGAATTTGTTAATAAAATTACATTGAACAATATAAACTTTCACTTATATCAATTGTCGCCCCGTTAATCGTCGAGTGATTTGTGCGGGTGCCATTCCATTTTTACCCATCGCGTGCAACAACACCCCAGTGGGTTCTGCTCGCCACAGGGACTCGTTGAGCACCATATATTTCTTCTGGGATTTATCTTCAAGAGCTCTGACCATTGGTCTAGGCCTTGATTTCCTGTTGTGCGTTTAATATTCCGAGGAATCAAGTCGCGCACGCTGTTTTTCGGTTATTTATACACATTACGTGTTCGGTTCACCTTATCTACAATAGTTTGTCAAAGAATATTAACTTTACAACATTAAGTTACGATATGTTATTCTTAATTTAAAACTTTTATAAAAAAAATACTAGGATACTTGTGCGGACCGTCTTCACTAGTTGTATGGAACCCAACACATTCTCTATTCAATTCTTTCCCTCGCAGTCGTCATCTATGGCAGCGGTTTGATTCGAGCATGGTTGCGGGTTCCAGTCTCATATTGTGATCTGTAAAACAACTTCAGCTGCAAACACAGCTTGTTAGATTTTGCTTACGAAACGCCCGTTCAAGATGTAGGTGGGTTGTCCTAGGAGACGGCTGCATCGTGGTGAAGTCTCCACTCTACAATTTTCTCCGTCCATCTGTCATCTGATCATTATATGACCCATCTATGTTTTGTAATCGATTTGTTCTCCTGGTTCTCGAAGATGAGATAGATTGCGGAGATCAGAGCACTGCACTCCAGCTAGGTGTGTGTACGAGTTAAATTTAGAAAAGAAAAGAAGAAAGATTTTAGAATACATGGTCTAAGCGCTCTATAAATAGTGCGATGTTCTCTTTACTTTGATGAACTATCGGCTCACATCTCCGCTACATAACGGAGCTGTTGCCGAAACCGTTGATTGGGGTTAATTAGCGCACATTTTTGCTCCGTTAGTTTGTCGGTGGTTTCTTTGAGGGGCTTGAATGCGACCTATGCTCCTTTCCTTCTTCTGTCTAATTCCTCCATGTTGTTCTCTATGTTCATTGAACGCCCGAGGTATACGTACGGGATGGTCTCTGCAATCAAATAACCATCCAGTTTGATCTCTTCGCGTTAGCACCGTCGTCTTCGGATTCTCGACATCGTCTTCCGATTTGTGCCTAGTCTGATCTTTCCCCACCGCATCGAGCTCATTGATCATCGTTTGTGCTCCCAGTAAACTGTCTGAGAAGGTGACGACACCATCGGCTAAGCGAAGGCTTGGCAAGTATTTTCCATAAATACGTATGTTTTCTCATTCCAGCAATGACTTTACTATTTTCCGAAATGCACCATACAGCTGCCTAGACGATATCATCTCGCCTTGTCGAACCCCTTTTCATATGGGAATGGCAGGAAGCTGTTGGAGAAGCTGTATTCTCATATTGTAGTTCCAATAATAGTGATAGAGTCTTTAAGGAGGACGGGTCCTCTCCTTGGTCGACGATCGCTGATAGGATTGCGTTGATTTCGACACTGTCAGGTGCTATTTCATAGTCGACAGAAGTAAGAGCAAGAGGTAGCTGATATTCCTGACAAGCATCAGTGACCCTGGACACGGTTTGGATGTGGTCCATGCAACGAAATCCCTGCAGAAATCTTGCTTGTTCAACTGATTGCGCATCGAGTGTCACTGATATGCGCGATAGGATAATCTTCCTCTTCATGAAGAGCTTGTAGAGTTTTCCGTTCAGTCACCTTTCCTGGGAAGGAGGACCGCGTGGGTGACGTCTTGTGCGTGGATTGTGGCTCCCAGCTCTAAGAAAGTCAGCGCTGACATTGTCGGGTTCTGGATCCGTGCCTTTTTCCATGCCTCCTATCGCTATTTGAAACTCAAAAAGATGAATTCTAGGTGATTTTTCTCCAGTGTGGATTTCAGAGTCTGAAACGAGGATTCCGGAGCGGAATGGGTTGATCTAGAATTTTTCCGCTGTCGATTCCATATTATGGCGGGGAATTTTAGTGATCCTCTCCTCACTGACCACGTCGAACAACGGAATCTTATACTCGCAGAGGTCCTACCGAAATTTCTACACATTGGCTCCTTTTTGTCCTGCTTCTAAGAGTTTCTTCTACCTGTGCCAATGTGGACCTTCGTTCACTGCTATTCTGCAACAACCATTTATTAGTATCCGTATTAACCGTCTTGTAGTACGATCAAGCTTCAGTTTCGTTCTCTTCTCTATCAACTTCTTAGTGGTAATAGAGATGTGGTTTTTCTTGAGAAACTAGATAGTAGATTGTATATAGGTGTACTATAATTATAGATTTATATATGGATAAATTATAGGTTTGTGCTGGGTAACATTCATTTTTTCTTTATTTATTTTACATTACTTGTCATTTACAATAACTTAGTTCGACGGAATAGTTTCCCGTTTTTTTTTGTTCTTTCAAGCATGTTATACTTCTTACAGGTTAATTTTGACGCGTGACAGCTTAACCAGTCAACATTTGTGTGTCAACTGCGCTCTCGCTATTTTAAATGCAGCTCGTTCGTCTATTCACATAAGCAACACTATTGGTTCGTTAATTTATTAACGTAATTATCGCCTGTGATATCATTAGGATCAGTTTAATCTCGTGTTTATTGTGGTGGTTTGCATTTTTGGAAACCACTTCAACGACATCAAGACGGAGTTTTCCTTGTATTTATCTTAGATATGAAAAATGGCAATATACCAAACGCTACAACTGGCTATGGTGGTTTGCCGAAAACATTGTACGCTGGAGGTGAAGGAGATAATGGAATTGCTAAAGGAACAACTCTAACATTTGCATTAATGGAGCTGTGCCTTTGTGTGATGGTGCGGCAGGTATGCTGGATTGCATTATTGGTTTCTGAACGTTAATTAAAACTAGTTGAGAAAATGGATTAAATTGAAAATTAATGGCTTAAAATTAAGTTTTCGGTTTCGATTAACCGACAACCCCCGAAGATGGTTTTTCAACAATTGACGATGATTTGTGGATTAGATTTTTTGAGAAAGTAACTAAAAGTAGATAGGACTTACTTTGGTTTGTTGCTATAAATGCATATGTGACGTTTATGGAGTGTTTCTTCATTGTTAGATGTTTAGAATTAGGATTAGGATAGAATTATAATGTTTGGAGTCTTTAGAGGACTGAAAACGATATTTAATTTCATGAGATATCCAACTCGGCAGTTTCAAACCATAAATGATGTGTTAAGGAACAGGGGTATTGGTTCCTAGTACACGGAATCCCACTTGTTTATGTGCTTTCGCCTTCGAAATAAAAGCGTAGGCCCAAAAGGTTGAAAGAAACTTATGTTACGTGCTCCAGAAAAGCAGAGTTTTATTTTGATATTATAAGATAACTTGTATCGCATTGAAGAGATTTGTAGGTTTTAGTTGTTTTTGTCCCATCCTGGATACTGGTTTTCACTGGTTGTGCGGGCTCCAGCATAATCTCCATTTTTCGGTTTTCCTGGTTTAGCTATTGTGTTTCCCTGGAGTTCCAAAGTCAGCCTAGGCAAAATCTGCTCCGGGTTGTCACCACCACAGGCAGCCCTTGTGGATCGGAGGGAGATTTGACACTATGCGACTAGTTTGACACTAGGACGGTGGTCGATCCTGGTATTGGTTTACTTCTAGCTAGGCTTCCTGATGGAAAGGTCGGACTCCTTCTCAACTCGGGAGACCCTGCTGGGGGGATGAATCTCCCCGCTCTACATTGCAGTCCGACATCCAGGAACACCTAGCTACGATGAGGCGGTAAACCGTTGGGAGGTTTATCCCAACTAGTAACATTTGATGTGAGATGAGGTATGTTTCAGGTAAGAAGCGGCCATCGTTGTCGCATCGAGCATATTGGACCCAATGTAATTTTGGGGCATTTCATTTTAAAGTTAAAAGATATGTGGTCACATTCGTGTAGTTGTCTTTTATCCTGCAGCTTCAAAGTGATCACTCAGTAATTTGATGGTTTTTAGTGTTGGTATTGCTGTCTTCTACCCATACTAGTCAATTATAACGTTAATAGGAAAATAATGACCGTTTTTGTCGTTAAGAAATTCGGGAAAAGTGTTCTAATATATTAGTTACTGACATTGTTGGCGCATACTATATTTTAAAGCTCCTTGCTTGAATGTTTTTAATGTGATACTTTTTCCCAGCTTTTAACTTGTAATCTCAGTCTGTGTCCCATTTAAATGAGTACATGAACCTTTCAAAAATTCTATAATCGTTAGAACAATTTGTATTCCACTCCTACCTGTTGGTTCGACGAAGTCCTCCTTGGAATGTTCAGCTAGCGCGCCAAAGAGCCTTTAAGTTCCTTGCCTCGCTTACGTCGCCGTTGTATACCCAGGAGGACGCGATATTGGCAACGGAATAGTAAACTGTTGACATCGATCTTCTTTTCTTGGTTCCTCAGTTTTCTTTTATCCATCTGCACGTCATTTCTATGCTTCGTATTTCATACTGCTAGCCCTTTACTCACATCTGCACTGTCGCGTCTATTCATCGTCCTATCTACATTCTTTTTGACTTCCGCATCCATCACTTTTACTTCCCTAACCGCACATTCATTACCCATCTTACTTAGGTCGTTAATTTTCTTTGTTATATTTCCACGCTCCTTCAAAATTTATTTATAATCATAAACGGGAACATAAACGAGATTTTTAGGTCTCAACAAAAATTGTGGTCATTTTTGTTTTCATGAGGTTTATAAATAAATTTTATCTGCACGACTCAGTATCAGACATCGCACACCCATGTTGTAAAACCTGAAAAGTTTGGCTAAGAAACCCTTCAGCACTATCCAATCTCAATGGACCTCTCATCAAGATCTGGAAAATAAATAGCCATGTATTCAACCATAAAATTTGTGACCGAAATCACCGCGAAGAGTTCTTTGTTTCTTGGACTCCAGAATTCTGTGACAAAAAAAACAGTAAAATCTTATTGGCAAATATGTCTGGATTCTAATCATTCTTATTTTGATGAGTGAAGTTGTTTGAGGTTTCTATTTAAAACTGCCCATTGCTTTTGGACAGCCTCATAAGAAATAACAGGTATTGTTCGTAAGTTGTAGTATTTCACACTACGAACTTGGGAGGGTAGTAATCACTTGTAAAACTACTTTTGGACCATTCACGTTGACTCATTTTGGAGTAAAATCTCATTCATGATGGAGACAAATTTTGTTTTCTCTTCTTCAACATTGTCATCTCATAAACAATAGCGTCGTCATTTTATCGTCATCATTTTTCAGCGCAATTTTATCGTACCTTCGTAAATTGTAATACTGGTAGCGAATTATTTTACTGATTGAGTCAATCACCCTAATAAGTTCAAATCGTTATCAAATCGTAGTTCATGAATTCAACCCTCAAGTTTAGTTTTTAGTTGCCTCAAATAAACTCAGCACACATGAAGAATCCACTACATGCGAGACGTTTCGGTCGCTTATCGACTGAAAGTGCGAATATTATTACGAGCAGTATCCAGTTACTAGTCAATGTAGGTTTTTTTTTATTAGTTCATGAGTTTGAAACGTCAAAAGGGTTAAAGGATAAAACTGTCGGCGTTGATTAATCCCTGAAGGACATTGGCATCATTAAGCATCGTTGGAGCAGATTGAATGCATATCTGACCTATAGAATGACTCCTGGTGGCCTTCCGATGTATCGAGTCAATACTGCTATGTTCGCACACAAGTCTGTACCAATTTGCTGACCCCGGAGGGATCGAAGGCTCGGTGAGCTTTGGGAGCGGGGATCGATCTAATGTGTATGGCAGAGCACCGCTGACTACTGCGCTACACGCGCCCTTTAGTTCGAAGCATATCTTTATCATATTTCTGTTCATATCTTTTGATAACGAACACGTATTTTTTCAAGGAAATTGTAACATTTTCCATAGCCTAGGTTTTTTATTTACTGCCAATTCTTTTTAATGGCAAGGTATGTTGCGAAATATAACTTCTATAATGCTGAGATATTTGCAAAACTCCGGACCGTAGGTGTCTGCGGTGGGGAGCGAACGCACTATTGTCCTTCCCGGGAGTGACGCGTTCACCACCACATCATACGGGCCCCTTTTTTACCTATCTCTCAGGTACTTCTATCGATCACTTGCCATCAGCAATCACCCATCAACGGGATTGAACTGGGGAGCCCAAATAGGCACTGAAGCCAGTTAGATTGAGGCTATTGTTATAATCACAATTTTAATCTTTTTATTCACTGCCTATTCTTTCTAATGGCAGGGTTTGTTGCGAAATATAACTTCTATAATGCTGAAATATTTGCAAAACTCCGGTCCGCAGGTGTCTGCGGTGGGGAACGAACGCGCTATTGTCCTTTCCGGGAAGTAACGCGTTCACCACCACACCATGCGGGTCCTTCGTTTCGCCTGTCTCTCACACACCTGCGGCGCGGAGTTTTACAAATGTCTCAGAATCGTTGTGGTTGTATTTCGCAACATACCCTGCCATTGAAAAGAATACGCACTGAGTAAAAGGGTTAAGATTGTGATTATAACTATAGTCTCAGCTAAACTGGTTTCAATGCTGATTTGGGCTCCCCAGATCAATCCCGTTGACGGGTGATTGCTGTTGGCAAGTTATCGATAGAAGTAGCTGAGAAACAGGTAAAACAAGGGGCCTGTATGGTGTGGTGGTGAACGCATCACTCCCGGAAAGGACAATAGTGTGTTCCTTCCCCACCGCGGACACCTACGGTCCGTAGTTTTGCAAATATCTCAGCATTATGAAAGTTATTTTCCATAGCTTTGAAACTTATATTCTAATCGGGTTGTGTTACCACTTCCGTTTACCAACATTTGCCCAGTAAGAACTTTTAATTTAAAGGTGCCGTTGTTGTGCTCAAGCGAAGGACGTTTAATTATCTTGCCTGGTATCTTGTACCTCATAATTGGTTTTATACGCGAATCGTCACGTTTGGATGAGAATAGTGTACTTCCCGACCTGCCAGTAGGACATCTTACCACCGTCGCCACGGCTTCTCTTCAGGTACTTTGGTTCAATCCATAATTTCCATCTACGTTTACTTAACTCTACAGCTTTTTTTCCGATATTTCTTATATCCGTATTCATTTGATAGTGCTGAAATCTGCGTAACGAAAGCTGTTCGCTACAGTTAATGTGCGAAAAAAGCCGTTTTACGAAGAACAGCTCCTTCTGTTTTGAACACTACAGGACAACATTATTGATAATGAAATGAGTAGTAATATTCCTGTGCAGTGTATTTACACCGTTTTTGGACACTTACGGGCATCTTCTATCTATGAATATGATGGTAAACCACTGAAGAGGTATGTGCAGATGAAATTGTGCTGTAAATGCGTACCGGCAATTGAAATAGTTCGATTTGAACAAAGATAGTGGTTCGCAGTTTAAGCAGTGATCGTATCAGTGTGTTTGGCATATAGTGTATATAAGGAAACAGTTCTGTTTTAAGCTGTTGTAACCTTTTACTGATGTTGCTCAAGTTGTAATCGAGAATATGTATTTCTGCAATGCTTCCGATTTATGTTTTGAACACAAGAGTTAAACGATAAGGTGTTAACGTTCATCAATCCCTCAATGATGGGTCAGCCGTTTATCTTCATTGAGCTTAGTACAGCTAGCTAAACGGATATTTGGCAACACAGTAGCTTTTGGTGGACGATCGTTGTGTTAAGTTGGTGTTTTTTACCCTAACAAAAGTTCTAGTACAATTCGGCGACCTCGCAGGAATGTGGGGTCTTTTTGCACCCGATCGCGAGATCCAATCAGCGACCCTGGGTGTATTACAAGGCATTTCTCAGCACGGCGTTATACGTGCCCCCCACTTTTTACACACCCTTTTTAGTCATCGTAGGGGGTGGGTTGAGCACTGAGTCGAGGTCCCTGCAGTACACACTGGGGCGACTTGTTCGATTGTTCCAGTCTCAACAGGACTTCCGGACGTGGATGAATTTGTGGGGTGTATTCGTTAATAAATTTTTAGAACAATTTCCGTGTAGATCAATACCATAGGAAGTCAAGGTGAAATGGATGTGAAAAAGTCATAGTTTTATCCAAAGAGACATGCAGCAGTTCTGAAACAGCATTACACTCTGTTAGACATTCTGATCAAGTTACTTTCGTTTTTCGTCTTTTATTTTCTTTTATTTTATAAATTCAAGGAAATTGATGGACCCAGAGAACGATTTATGGTTATTGTGTAGAACACAAGTTTAGCACTGCATTCTGTGTTTAGGCGCTTCGCAACTTGGCATCCTCACCACCCACGGATTCAACGCTGTCAAAGTGGATTACAATAATGCAGTGCGCTCTGTTTTCACTATTACAACTTTGTGACGGTAAAGCTTATATGTTTTCGTCCCGTAACGAATGTGTTATATTTTACTGATTTTTCAAAGGTGAATATCGTAAAGACGAATGTGTTCTGATGCTGTCTTGTGTTGTACTGGCTTCCGTAGCCCCTAGCCAAGTTGTACTCGGTCATCGTGAGAGTGTGTATCGCTTTGTGCGACTTATTCGTTCTCAACTGCAGAGCGAACATGCTCATGTTAGTAGTGTTCAGTTTTAACCATGACTGACTGTACGTAGTTAAAATTTTTTCTTTTGTTTTAAATCTTATTGATATGTTCACTGAAATCGTACTATAAGGAATATGCTCTATTTTTTTTATCGTATAGTTCTAATTCTAACTTTTTTCAGTGCTATTGCGTAGAAGGGCTAGCAAAAGTGTTTTTGGTATTGTATGCTTCGCGTATAGTAGTCGTGGCAGTACTTATTTGACTCTGCAGGTTGTTTCGAAAACCCTACAAGCACTTTCGTCACTATTAGCTCGCCGTGATGTGAATGCTCCGTTTATTTCTTCATTGGGTCAGGACGTGTTCAGTGTGATCAGACCGTTCGTTACGAGCAATAATCATATGGAAAATGTGAAAGTATGTCAAGTAATATGGTACGGCATGGTTTTTAAATTAGCTTTTTTTTAAAGCGGTAATTTCAGAATATCACTGAAGAGAAGTTGCAAGTTTTGCAAGATGCTTTAAAAACATTGGAGGTCACGGTTACAGTAGCCGATGGTAAACGAAGTGGGTGGTATGCATAAGAAATGAGTTTTTGTCAAGAAGTCGGTAACGTAAACTTATTACCAAAATTGTGTCAATTTGGGTTTTGGTTGGCAGTGCAACTGTTTTTGAACACAGTTGAACTACGTCCTGTGGAACGCATGCTTTTTTTGTATCAGAAGGTAATTAAGCACTGAAATGTTGCAAGATCATTTTGCAGAATTCGCACTCATTTCACTGTTCGTACAGTCTTTATGTCGGTTACTGTGTGCTAACTCTGCCGATGAATGGCGATTGCTAAGCCAGCCATCTCGTCGAGTTCATGAGTTCGCTATACAAAGACTGAATGCAATTGCACCATTATGGCCCATAGAGTTCAGGCAGGTGAGCAAAGTATCACTAGTTTCCCACGACCGACTTTCTGTTAACCTCGGCATTAATTGATAATTCAATGTTTTTCTTCAATAAGCAGACACGAGGTTGTTAACATAGGATTTAATAGAATACAATAGTCAGCTATAGTCAGCCATTGTATTCTAATAAATTCTATATTAACAACCTCGTGTCTGCTTATTGGAGAAAAACATTGAATTATCACTAGCTTGTTCACCTTTTGTGTAGTGGTTGGTATCCGTTGCCTGTGTATAGAGCGTATGTACTGATGCTTCGTGACTATCTTAGAAATTTAAGCAATGGTACTACTTGCTACATTACCAATTCTTAGACATGTATTTGCCAAAAAGAACTAGTTTAATTTCAGGTCTTGGAATCTCATCCATTATTGAAAAAGCAATTGGAAAGTGCGTTATTGTTCCAATCGAGTCGCCAAGTGCAAGTGCAACATGCGAAGGCAAAAGCAGTCACTGCTGAATCGAAGGTTAGAAATTAGTCTGTATGAGCGCAGCGAAAGTATGAATGCTTTCAATTATTTTCTTCTAGTTAACTATATATCCTCCCGAGTACTAATGGGGAAGTCAAAGAAATTTGGCTCCTAGTGTGATGCGGAAAACGCAGCAGTCAGAGATACTCCACTACATACGCCGAGTCGCTGTTTCAACAGCGACTTGGTCGAACTCATCCTTCCATCCTTGCGAGATAAGCAAAATGGCTCTAGACTTGTTTAGAAAAGCTTCCAATCCACAAGTTTTTGTTGTTTCCTATAGCAATCTGGGAAAGTTTTAGAAAGTTATTACAGGATCTCCCTCATAGAAGGATCTAGTGCCGCTTAGTCGCGAGGCAACGTGGGGCGTCTTCGAGTGTTGGAGGGAAGGAGGGTTTAGTCACGGGTCAAAAGCGACCTTTGCTTTTTTGAGGCGCAAGTGGATCCAGGGGATGTACGCTCTGTTTCTGCTGCGTCGATCTGGCACATACCTTCTGTTATCGAAATCTTGGTTTAGTATTTTCTCTATTTGATTATGGAGGCTAGGTATGTTCCAGGCAACTGGACATTTCCCGGCTGTGAGGAAGGGGGAATTCGCCAAAACGTCATCTAGTTAATAAATAAAAAATAAAGTAACAACTTCGTGTTTGCTCGTCAAGGAAAAAGTGAATCACTGACACTGTTTTATACACTAAACTGTCGAAGATAAGGTGGACCGGACACGTAGTGCGTATGGACGGCAAGCGATGAACAAACCGTTAGTGACTGGATTCCTCGGAATGTCAAACGCGCTGCAGAAAGACCACCAACCCGATGGTCAGAGTTCTTCATGAAAACCCTGGAAGAAAATTGTGATTTTCAACGAGTCTGTTTACCAAGCAAAACCCACTAGGCTACTTTTCTTGCGACAAGGAAAATAAGATCTACTGGCACCCGCTCGAGTCGCTGGACGACCAACATGGTGATATGTGATATAAGAGATTACAGGATGCCACCACCAACTGATCCAGGTGGGAAAACCACCAAGTACAGGTCCAGCCCAAGCGGTACGTGTAGCGCGGGCTTAGGGGTGCAGTGCTGTGCACACTGGGAAATACACATCTGGTGTTTGGTTCGGTCCCGTCCCACTGACTCATTAAACCTCCGATCCCTCCATGGTGGCAAATCGGTACTAGACTTGTCTGAGAGGATGAAAACACTTTGATACATCGATAGGCCTCCGCACGTCATTGTATAACGCATATTTGCGTGCAGTCACCTTTACCGGTGCTTGCTGAAATCGAATGCACGGTGTATCCCTCAGGGGGATATGAACGCAGAACACTATCTTTTATCCTTTATCCACATATGGTCGAAGAAGGTTTGAATATTTATGTTCCTGTAGTTGTCTAAAAGTTACAAATTTCTCGTTTATGGAAATAGTTGTTGATATGTTTTGTTGTTAATAACTTGATTTTTAGGAGGTTCATTTATTGCCACAGCCAACGATAAAACTAACCATGGATTTTAACTCATTCGGAAAAGCCACTTCCTAATATTACTACTCGCGAATCAGTGTACACTTTCTTGAACAGGTTGCTCCTTACTGTTGACACTGTATTGTTTGATTTTAAATATACCCGTCGTGCAGTGGAATCACTTACTGTTAAGTTAAATCAGCTTGTTTAAATGGTACATAAGTAATGTTCTGTTCGCAGATGAGCTTTTCTTGTTAGATCACATAATACTAGGTGACCGTAAGTATAATATAGGTTCGCTAGAAAACGAGGCTAATTTTGAATTTGTCCATAGCATGTTGTTTATGTGGTGTTATCTTGGGATATTTTAAATGAGCTTGTTTAAAATAAGTTAATTCGACGACCAAAGACTTGTAATTACTCTTCGGAATTTTAAATCTTTATTGGTAATGCTACCTTGCTTGTAGAATTCTTTGTTTGTCATGCTATACTGCAACTGCACAGGGTGATTGAAGGGTAACTTCCTAGTTTAAAATGCTTGATTTTTTTTCCAAATATAATTTCCATAAGAAATGAATGTGAACAGGAACCGCATAGCATCGAGTTTTAATCAAAATTCGGTATTGCACCAGCATTCGCCGCTAGCTTTTTGGTCCACCTGGGGACCGCGTCAACTGATTTCACCATAAACTTTTGTGAAGTGGAAGTAGTCTGCTGTATTTGCCCTTCAAGTTCTTGTAAAGTCGTTGATTCGGTAGAACAGATTTGCTCCTTTGACTATCTGCAAGGAAAAATGAGTGTCAAGTCAGCATTTCTGGGTGGGCACTAATGCGGACCACGGCGATTCCTGCATTTCCCAGGGAGGGTGCATTTATCCATTCATGAACACTTGAATAAATGGATGGATGGCCTGTCTTCACTGGTATTGCGACTGGGGCATAATTTCTATCTTATTTCCTTCGCCTGCTAGCGTCGTTCGTGGTGGTGGTCTGGTTCGAACATTATGCCATTGACAACAGTAAAAAATGCAAGGGGGTACCATCTTACATAGAAATGGTATCTTTATTATTCTCCCACATAAAATAACTAGCCGAATTGGAGTATTATTTGGCTACGAGGGAGCATTTCTTGAACAATTTGCACTACCTCCGAGTGGAATACCGGAATTGAAAGTGCAAGAGCTTTTTCGAGAACTAGCTACAGATTTTGTAGCCATGAGTTTTGCATCACAATTCTTGATCGTCCTTGTGTTAACTTGAGCATCTCTTGCAGTTCCTCCACCATTCTTGCACTTGAGCAATCTCTCTCCAAGCCTCGAAACGTGCCGCTAACTGAGCACGATCTTGCAAGGTCAGACGTTCATCCATATTTGTGCAGCTTCCGAGTTTCAGAAAAACTAGTCGTTCTGAAAAAAAAACATTGATTTAATTTCCATACATTGAAGAATTTACTCAGAATTTCCAAAAAAAATAGCGCAATATATAAATAAATTATAGGGATTTCAAGATAGGAAGTTTTCCAATCATTCCTTAGATCAAAAGGAGAAGGTAACGCACAAGATTTGTATGCATTACGTTGTAAAAGAGCTATGAAGAAGAATGTTTCGGCTCTACTGACGAAATTTCCACAATAGCTACCTTATTTCTCATGTATAGTGTCCGATTCTAGTCTTCCGCTTCTGTCATTCATTGATTTTGTCATTTCTTTAATTTTAGTTGTTCAAAATGTACACTTATTTCCGACGTTCACATTTGTTACATTACATTGACGGTGTAAACATTACAATCACACAGATTTATTTTATAACGGTGTAATTTCCACAAGTTAATCGTTTTCTATATTGCTCAAAATTTCCACACCAAAGTTTCAACAGTCATTGTATTTTACACACACTGTATTATCCACACAATCCGCAACACAGCAAATACGGGCGGTAGTGCTGTGGTAATAGAAGACTGGTTCTCTAAAATAGAAAATACCTTTTTGGATTATCAAGCTAACAGGAGGTTCTTTTTAAGCGACCTGTCTTTCACATCAACAGTGCGGATCCCAGCATTCGCCGCACTTCTCACATTCAGTTCCTTTTCTAGCATCCATCATCCACGAAGGTCCTCCTACTTTTACGTGTGGTTTCGGCTACAATTTGAGGATTTTCTTTCCGTCCTGAATGTCGTAGAATGCTGCTCGAGTCGATTCACCTTGGAGTACTAAGAAAGCGTTCTCATTTGCACCGCAGAAAGTGATTTTTCCTGGACAAGTCCGGTACCAATTCACTCACCCCGGAGGGATAAGAGGCGCGATGATTCCGGAGCAGTATCGGACCAGTAACGTGCATGTAATGATAAATTAACATAAAAAGGTAAAGGACAAAGCTCTTGGCGTTGATTAATCGCCAAAGGATGCGCCAGTGCACAGGTGGTCGCCTCTCGTGACTTGAGTGTTGATTGTCGCATGCCTCTTCCATATGTCTTTCGAGTTATAGACTGACGATAATACAAGAGTCAATTTTACTTACTGGGAAATGAATATAGTAAATCATATGCTAGCCATACAAGAGTCAATTTTACTGATTAACTGATTGCTATTTCACTTACAAAAACTATGATGAGTCACTTACGGGCGTCCTTTATATGAAGGATCCCGATAGCCGGTTAGTCGCGAGGATACGTGGCGCGTCCATAGGTGGCGGATAGGGAGTTAATCGCTGACTGAAAGCGACCGTATGTTTCCCTGAGACGCAGGTGGATACAGGGTATGGACTCCCTGTTTCTGCTGCGCTGATTGGGCACATACTTTATGTATTTGAGAAGCGTATTCAAGCATGAGTATGTGGGTCCCTTTTCGCTTATGAGGATTGTGCTCTACGAGACAATTCGGCCAAAAACCTGCAATCAAGTGACTAGGAAGTATATGGGAGGGGGGGGGGCGGTTAGGAGTCGCCTCCAACAAATAAGCTCCAAGTCCATTCTGGGAGAGGCTGTTAGGCTCGTGAGTATACCCAGTCGCCACGTTTAGGGCCCAGCAAGCTACATATGGATATCAAAACGCTAAACACAGTAGAAGAAACGGGCCTCATTCCTTTAACCCTGAAAGAGCTCCCAATTCGGCAGTGTTGGGTAGGACGATTACGGAGAGGCTGCTAAAATCTCAGGGTCAATGGAAGCAGCTTAGATCGCAAAGACTAAGGTGACGATCTGTACCTACAGTGCACGTGCACTTGCATCCGAGTCCTCGATGGAAGAGTTGATCACGCAAGCAAGAAGGATGAGGTACGACACCATCGACCTGGCTGAGACGAGACGACACTACTCATTCAACACCGTCTAAGACACCAGAGAGGAAGTGTTCCTCGGAACATGCCACAGTAAAGGAGTCGGCAGCGTCAGCGTTCTCTTCAATACGAGTTTGTCCGTGAAAACTGATTCATTAGAACAACTAACAACCCGAATCGGACGTTTATGATTGAAGAGATGTGGATCAATACCCGTCATGACAATTTCGTTGTTTACGTGCCTACGCCAAACTATGACGAT